GCGGCGCGGCGGCACCATGGAGGCCATCTGGCTCTACCAGTTCCGCCTCATCGTCATCGGCGACTCCACGGTGGGCAAGTCGTGCCTCATCCGGCGCTTCACCGAGGGCCGCTTCGCCCAGATCTCCGACCCCACCGTGGGCGTGGACTTCTTCTCGCGCCTCGTGGAGATCGAGCCGGGCAAGCGCATCAAGCTGCAGATCTGGGACACGGCCGGGCAGGAGCGGTTCCGGTGAGCACGCGGCCTGCGCGGGGCCTGCGGCCCGGCCCGGCCCGGGGGGCTGCGGCGGGGCCCGCGTGAGACAAAGAGGGGCCGGTGCCCGAGCGCTGCCTCCGCCGCCCCGCGGGGCGCTGGGGGGGCCACGAGTGACCCCCCCCCATCCCGGCAGAGCGGGGCACCCCCTCCTGGTGCGCGGGGGCTGCGGTGCCCGCGCCCCGGCCTCCCCCGCCGCGGCCGGCCCTGCCTTGCGCGAGCAGAGGGCTCCGCAGCCCGCCCAGCCCTGCGCGGAGCAAAAGCCCCGGGCTGGCCCCGCTTCCCTGGCCTGGAACGCGGGCGAGGGGGCGCGTGGGGCCGGGGAGGCCGCGTCGCTCCGCGGTGCTGCCCAGCACAGGGCTCCGGGTCGTGCGAGCGGTGACAAGGACAGGGCGGCCCAATGCGAGGGATGCGCCAACACACATTGAAACGCTCTAGCCAAAGCGCGGGCTTCAACCCGCCAGGTAAAACGATAGCAGGAACATGAGCAAGCCCCGTCACCCCTGTGGTGTATCCTACAACGTGGCTAGGTCAGGCAAAATAAATCTGGTCTGTATTCCTTCCTTCCAAAGCACCCTCAGCACGGTAAGAAGTTGTGCCCATACGGATCAGTTTTACAGTGCCATAGATGTTTTTAGCTGTAGAAGCTGTAGGGTTTCTGTTATGTGTTTTTCCTTGGCAAAAGACAAAATACAGCGAGTTACTGCTGAAATAAGCGGAGGCCCTCGTACTCACGGGCCTTGGCAGGAGGCACGGTGGTGTGTGTGTTCTGCAGCACCCTCAGACTTTCTTTTTTGTTGTAGTGCAGAGAGCATCTCCAAGAAGTGCCTTCTGACAGTGCTTCCTATGTGGAGCCCTGCGTTTCCCATCTGCTCTGCAGCAGTTTGACAGCTGCTGCATGAGGAAGGAAGGGGGTGTCAGGCGTCCTGAGACACCTTGCTGGCATCCTCTGCTTTGAGCTGGGACATTTTACTCTTCCTGACCCCTGTTGTGCGCTCTCTCACGCTGCATAAATGAGAAGCAATTTCCTCGCAGTCAAGCTTAAATTATAGTTGCGCATGTGCTTGTTTTGCCAGATCAAATGCATGCTCTTTGGGGGCAGCTTTGAGGCTGTGTTGAAGTGGTAGGAGAACGGGGTCCAGTTCTTCCTGAATCTGGCAAGTTTTCGTGCCCTGGTTGTTTTGCCCTGGTTGTCTGAAACGAGCTGTTGTGTAACGCAAAGCAGAGAGGAGCCAGCGCAGCCTGCACGTGTGGAGATACCACTGCGAGCTCATCACGAGCTGCCTTCTTCCAGCCGGCAGCCCCTGGGCTGTGGGGAGGGCTCCAGCAAGCAGCACAGGAGCCCCTGCACACGAGTGTGTAGCGGAGCAAAGGAGAGTTCCCAGGAGGAGGCAAAAGCTTAGTTCAAACTTGCTGGGAACAGGTGTGAGCCCCTCTGCTGCTCGGCTTGTGTAAGCAGCGCTTTTATAAGTGCAGCTTGTGCACACGTGGAGGGAGGTAACAGGCGGGTACCAGTTGGGCAAAGGCGGTGGGCAGTGACGAGCAGCGTGTGTAGGTTTCTTGCCGTGGTCAGGGACGAGAGCGGCCTGTGGAAAAGCCTTTAAGAAAAGGCTTCCACTGAGACCTTGACCTGGTTTTACCTCAGTGCAGAGCTCACATCCTGTCATGTATTTCAGAAGTACCTGAGGCATCGCTTGTGCTGGCAAGAGGAGCCAGGCTGATACGCGAGGGAGAAGCAATGTTAGTGTGGGGTGAAGGCAAGCAACGATATCTTTTTGCAGCTGGCAAGGCAGCTCTAATTCCCTCAGTGCCAAATGTGCAGCGTTACTGTTGTTGCTGAGCCAGATAGCTGGGAGAGGAGCACTCATCCATATGCACACAGCGTATCCCTTGCCCCTCTCCTGGCCTTCTTCAGGATTTGCCTGTGGGTTTTCCTCCATCACACTGTGCTGTTCTGCACGCTCTTTGAGAAAGCAAAATTTGAGAACGTCAGCTGATGCTACTTTTTGAGGCGGTTTCTCCAGATTCACAAATGCTGCAAGACCAACTAACCTGTAACAAGAGTCTTGCATGAGCAGAGAGTACTGGTCCCAGGGTAGAAATGTTGCAGTGCTTACATTTCCGAGCAAGGCCCTGGTATAAAATCCTCCAGAGACTGAAATCAATCAGTGCTTCTGGATTTAGAACTAATCCATGACTTTGCACCAAGCAAGACTGCAATTTTACAGCTTTTTCACTTTTCCAAGTGTAGAGGGCCCTGAACTCTGCTGGGCCTGCCTTCCACAGCCTCTTAGCTCATTTCATTTGCTCTTTCATGTTGTCCTAAAAAAACAGCCCTTGCTCAGAAGATTTTTACCCAATTCCCATCCAGAAGATGCCTTGCGGAAGATGCTGTCCCATTCCCAGCCAGTGGCTTGGGGCATTTTGCTTAATGATTTCAGTATTTGTCAGGAACATGCTCAGTGGTAACACAAACCCCTTCACAGATGCCTTTGCCTCATGTGGCTGCTGGGTGGGAGCTGGGCCCGGCTTTGCCTGGTGTGTTTGTGGGTGGTGAGGGCGGCTGCTCTCACTGTGGCAGCTGGGGTGGTGGGAGCCGCCGCAGGCAGTGGGAGCATGGAGCTGTGGGCAGGTGCTGGGGGAGCCGACAGCTCCAGCGTAGGCCTTCCAGCTCTGTATCTTCCTCTTTGCCTTTTACAGGTCCTCTTAAACAAGACCTGCATGGGGCCAGAGGAGAAAACTTTTGTTACAGTGCTTCTAAACAAATGGGTTTGTCAAAGCATTTACATGAGGGGAGGGCTGCATAGTGTTAACAGTAAAGGGCATATGGAAATCTGAACTAGAAAAATTGAGACCAAAAATGTTGGAGGACGAAGAGAGGGATTTTGAACAGGGAATGTTACCCAAGACAGAGACACATTGCCTGAAGTCTTTAATCCAAAATTAGCAGTCTTGCTGAAAGAGAAGTTGTACAGAGCACAAGCAGAAGTGGTAAGACATTACTGAATGAAATTCTCTTACTTGTATTCTTCAGGGTGTATTCTAACTGCAACATTTGGATTAAGAAAAAGATTTTTCAAAATAAGCAGGCAAAAATATGCAAAGTTCTCTCTGCATTTCCTCCCAGATAGCTGTAACTCAGACATCTCCTGTGGCTCCTTCTGTTCTAGGTCCATCACCAGAGCCTACTACAGGAACTCGGTTGGCGGACTCCTCCTCTTTGACATTACAAACCGCAGGTCCTTCCAGAACGTCCATGAGTGGCTAGAGGAGACAAAAGTGCACGTCCAGCCGTACCAGATTGTCTTTGTTTTGGTAGGTCACAAGTGCGACCTCGACACCCATCGGCAGGTCACGCGGCACGAGGCTGAGAAGCTGGCTGCTGCATATGGTATGAAGTACATTGAGACCTCAGCTCGGGATGCCATTAATGTGGAGAAGGCCTTCACTGATCTGACTCGAGATATATATGAGCTTGTTAAAAGGGGGGACATTTCAATCCAGGAGGGATGGGAAGGGGTTAAGAGTGGGTTTGTCCCAAATGTAGTGCACTCTTCGGAAGAAGTGGTGAAATCAGATAGGCGATGCTTGTGCTGATCTCCTCTAGTGAGAAAAGTGGTGATGAACTCTACTAACCACCTGTATTCTATTAAGTGAACTCAGTGTGACAGAAGGGAGAGTAACCCTCCCATTGCAAACAGCCTCCCACGTTGCTTTGGACACCAGGAGAACAGACCCAGGAAAGAAATGTTCTGTTCCAAATAACCTTTCTGAACTGGGAGCGACCAACCCAACCGAGCATGAGTGAGAGGGTGCATGTGTATGTTGTAAGGAGCCAGGAAGCAGAAAGGAGAGGGAGCCAGAGGGAGTGCGCGCGCAAGCAGCTCTCAGTGAGGTGGCACACACCAGGGAACTGCACGATGTCCTCTTTTAAGTAAAGCTATAGCTCCGTGCTGTCTATTGAGGCCACAGTGAAGATACATCAGTAGCATGACACACTGGCAGAGAGAAAAAGAAAGAAGGAAAGAGGACATCCTGGTTTGTGGCAGCTGTTTTGTTTATTTATTACCAAGAAGATGTAATGGCAGCTGAAATATTTCTTTATAAGGCCAGTGCCACAGAAAGAGTTTACTGAAAGGGTATACATACTTCTGAATTCTTTTTTATGTTCTTGAACCTAGTTCAATATACTAAACACTATTATGAGAGATTTAAAGGGAAAATAATAGCTAGTTAATTGGTAATTAAATTTAAATACTTCCCCCCCCCCCCCCCCAATTGCATTGTCCTTGCTGTGCTGAACTGGGATTCTAAGTGGCAGCTGCTGCTCCAATTGTAATTATTTGGTGAATATTTAAGTATTAACTGTCTAGATGAATAACTTGAAAATATGCAGAGTTCAGGGCTAGCCAATAGAGTTAAGTGATAAGGAGCATGAAGCCAAAAACATGTCCTCATACTCTGCATCTCAATGCTAGGCTGTTGCAGCCAGGCAGGACACACCAGCAGTTCTGTCTTGCCGTCTGTGTGTCACTGACCCTCTCAGGTGTCTACCAGCCAAGGCCCCAAGGAGATACGGAAAGGAGGGGAGAAAAAAAAAAAAAAAAAAAAAAAAGCTTGTGAAGCTTAACTCAGGTGTACCAGCCATTCTCAAAGGTGAGATTTGCTTCTAAAGATGTTAAATAGAATGGAAAGCAGCAGCTTCCATCAGTGCTTTCTGCTGTTAAAGTGTTGTTTTCTTTCTTGGCATCAGTGGAAGAAGAGCTCTAGAACAGGAAAGGAGGAGCACAGGACAGAAGTGGCTGAGCGGGTGAGAAGGAAAGCCACGAGAGACACAATAAGAGGAAAATTTGTTTCCTCTGTGGGTTTTTTTGACAAGGAAGACCCCTTTCAGGTTGGTTATCATGAGTGGGTAGCTGAGTAACAAGGGCTCTGCACAGGTGCCGCTTTCTGGGGACACCGCCACCTGAGCTTTGCTTCTGCTTAGCTTTCACTTAAGCTTTTGAAGTGCATCAGGGTAACCCTGCCCCAGAACAAACCTGGGAAGTTTAACCTATGGAACAAGCAACAAAATGAGGACAGCGATATTTAGTCATGCTTGCAAGCTGTCACCCCCACACTGCTTAGAGGGAGCGAGTAGGTGAAACCCTAGGACGTATCTGCTGCTCAGTGCCAGGCCTTTTGGTAGGTGAGAGTAAAGTACTTCTTTAAGCTGCACTGTCAGGGAAGTATGGGCTTTTGTGGTTGCTACTGAGCTGTCCGTTTCTCTCTGTTCCCATGGTTTGCAGCACCTGTATGGATCCTTTTTTTTTGGACAAGAGCTGGGGTTTCTATATTAGAGTAGTTAAACAAGCGCAAAAAAAAAGTTTTTTGTGTTTGGGAAGTAGTCTTGTTTCTGGACTATATGGGCAAGCTGCAGAGTTGTACCTGCTGGGAGGGCATTGGTAGCAAAGCAGGGCCAGGAAGGAGTGGCGACAGTCCAGCGCATTTTGGGAAACTTGTCACCACCAAACACCCCTAGTCAGGTCTGAAATTGGCTATAAACACATAGAAAAACTCTACACTAACACCCATCAAACTCCAGGCAGAACTAGTGGTGGTTGGGTTCAGTGTCCAAAAGATACCAAAAAAAAAAGTCTTTACAAAAAAATCTCTTTCTAGGTAAGCAAAGCTGGAGAAGATTGATGCAGAGAGAGCCACGAGAGCTTGGCTACCGTGGGCTCTCTGCCTGCACCTTCTGCTGCTGCCAGTGGAGAGCACAAGGTCTCTTCGAATCAGGACCATTAGTCTTGTTTAGACTAATGCCAGGACAAGCAGGTAGAAAAGGGTCAGTTCCTTAACTCCTTGAATGAAAGGTAGGCAAACAACCACTTCAACCTCTCAGGGTGCAGCTCTGCTCAAGAGGTGTCTTTTGGATTGTTCAGCTGAAGGCAGATACTGGCCTAAAGGGTGAGCTTGTGTGCTGCATTAAAGCCAGTAGAACTTTGGGATCTAGCAGAGTTTTAGCAATACTGACATTTCATAAGCCTGGCCAGGGGGTGGGGGGAGCAGGGAAGAGCCCAGCTTCTGTGTGCTGTAACTATCAAGACTTTGTTTAATGGGTTTGCGACATTCGCCCTTTCCTGCTCCCAGAGAGAAGTTCCAGAGCACCTAAATGAGTAAGTGCATCCAGGCCTTAAGAGTAAATCTTGACTTTGTAATACAAGTATCTTAATTCTAAACTGGAACAGTGCAGAAGAAAATGTATGCAGTTTTAACTACTTAGATGTAATAAATCGTTATATTAAATGATAGAGAAGTCATTATATACATCTTTTTCTAACTCCTTGCATTTTCTAGACAGCTTATTTAAAATACAGGAACTGTAGATTCATCTGTACAAAATTTCAGGTGTTTTTTTTTTTTTTTAAGATGAAGAACTTAAAGGCTATGCTAAGAATTCTTTTCTAACAACTGGTTTTAATGCTTTGACTTCTAGCGCAAGAGGGATTTAGGGAAGTCAGAAGGTGACACCTTTCACAGGATAAAGGTCAGGAGCTCTTTTACTCTAGGACAAAAAAAAAAAAAAAAAAAAAAAAAAAGCTAACTTTGTGGTCTTTACCACACATAAAAACAATCTGCATGTTTGATGACTGAAATTGCTCAGAACCTCTAGAGTAAAGCTATACTATACGCCTTTCCTCGCTTTCTGTTATGCACTGTAATGAAATGTAAAAATAATGCTGTATTTAGCTGTATGTGACTGAAAATATGCTTGTATTTAGCATAATGGTTACTGTGATAATGTGAAATTCAAAACTTGTGAAGAAACTTCAGTGTGTTTTTTTTCCCCCCTTCCCCTTCTTTATCAGTAGCCACCTAGTACCTGTACTGCAGCAACCTTAACCTGACATGGACTAGCTCAACAATAAACAGCCGATGCTCTTTGACGCAGTATCCGCTGTACATGTTTCCTCAAAAGGCTCTCTGGTCCCATCTTAAACCAGCTTTCTCAGTGTCACAGGAGCAGCACCGCTTCTGCACTGACCACACTGACCTCGTGTTCTTACAGGAATGAAGCTTTAACTCTGAAGACAGATCAACACTGGACAGAGATCCACCACCTGCAGGCTTGTTCTTGTCTTTTTCTTTCTTGATACCCAATAATACCAGGCTTCTATAATCATATAATCGCCCTTTCTCCCGCCCTCCCCACCCCACCACACTTCAAACCCAGGTTGCTTTTGAACCTACTGGCCAACTCCAGCTCAGCTGCTCTTGCTCTAACACAAAGCATTAGGTCAGTGGTAATCTGGGCAGCACTTTTGCTCACACTGGGTGCTTAACTCATCACTTCATTGTGCACAACAAAGGGAGGCAATCGCTGCCTTATAACCCAAACTGAAAACTGCAAGAGAGATGAGGATGTGTCTGCAACTGCCTTTCCCTTCATTGCTGATACTGTTAAAGAGCAAGTGAAGGAAGAAGCTGCAGTTTGGGTAGTCGTAGCTTCAGCCTAGTAGAGCCTGTGCAGATTGCTGTTACTTCACAGTACATTAGCTGCTAGATACATTCATATTTGCTCTGGACACTGCAACAACGGTATCGTCCTGCAGAAGAGGTACAGTAGAGCCAGACCCCAGCAGGACCCAAGTGAATTCACAGATGAGAGCAACGCTTCCCTAACAGCCCAGTCCTCACAGCAGCCGCTGAGGTGCCTGATCTTTTCCTGACCCCTTCATACTAAGGCCACAATGCAGAACATACAATTAACAACTCCTAATGAAACTGCTAGAATAGATGAAAAGGGGAAAGACATTGTTATGCAATAACAAGCAAATAATTGCCTTAATAATACAACAAGCAAGTAATAAGCCTCTGCCACGCACAGGAACAGAGGCTGCTGCCTCTTGCAGGTGGTGGTTCAGTTTTACCCAGGGCTCCCTGTGAAGATGCCATCCATAGGAATTACTTGTTTCCTTCCTCAGTCTTTCCTGCTCTTGAGTTCAGTTGGAACTATCCATCTTTCCCTTTTAAATAAGATTTTTTTCCAAGTACTTGTTACCCATGTTAAGAACTTACCATTATTTCCATTCCTGCAGCTCTTAATCTTTTACAACCATAGTGGTGTCAGGTCAGTCTGTGTTCACAAATCCAGATGTGTTGCCTCCCATCTTGTTCTGCTTGTGTTCTGCAGATACTCTTTTCACAGTGCTACTTCAGCCATGTTTCTTCACCCCCTGCTAGCCTTTAAGCAGGAAATGCATGAGCTTTGTGCCTTCTCCCCCCCCCCCCCAAAAAAAAAAGGGTTCACAAAGAGAGGCATTTGTCACAGCTGTTTAGTTGTACTATTTTAATATCATGAAATAAAAGTACAAAAACTTTACAGGTATATTGTTTATTACATGAAGATTGAACAGTTAACATCTGCATTTATTCTGTAGAGAAACCTGCATTCTCAGTCACAGAGTGTGTATACTAGCCACTGACATCACCACTGAGCATTTCATTTTAGAAGGAAACTGCAGAGGAAAAAGGCAACAATCTTGCAAGGCTTCAAAGTAACCCAAGAAGTACTTCAGCAGACCATCCATGTTTCATACAGGTTTCACTACTTAGGAGGCTGAGAGTGTTAAGACATTTGAACTGGATATCTGTCTAAGGGATTGTACATGGGGGTTCTTGTTTACAGGCTGCCAGCATTTTCGTGTCCTCGGTCAACACATTGGCAAAAACAAGCAGTGTGTGCACATGTATGAAGAAGAATGGGGTGAGATCACCTGCAGTCTTGACGTAGCTTGTGCTCTTTGCTCCATTGCTCCATTCATCACCCTTCTCCAAAGACAAGTCACAAACTGTGGCAGGTAAAGTGCTGAGAGTCCAGTAACAGACAGGTAACTTAACCAATGATTATGGAAGTCAAGTTTATCCCCAGTGGATAGATATCCAGGAATGCTCGTAGGTTTATGCTGCCAGAGAAGTAACTGAGTGAAACAAAATCTAAGACCTCACTGTACTTGTTCTGTTTACTACAGCACTAACTGCACGTCCTCCCAGCCCTGGGTGACTGCACCTTCACCAACTGCACATCACAGAGAGGAAAGAGTAAACTCTTGCACTATGGTAACCTGCTCAAGTGGCAGACCCATTTCATACTTTCATCTTGCATTTCCAAATTTTCAGGTAGAAATTTACTTAGGACAGAGTAGTCTCATCAAAACGCTGCATCCTTGGCTAGACTGTGCGGTGTCTTTTCAAATAATTCGTAATTTCATGAGGCATGCATGAACCCAAATTTTGAGTTTACAAATAAATAAAATGGTGCTCACCATCTTTTTTTTTTGAATTTATTTTACCATTTGCTGAAATGATTAAAGTAACTCAGTCCCTTAGGAATGAACTTTGGGGTGTTTAAATAAAAAATATTTGGAAATTGAAAACACATTTAAAATTGCCAAAACTATGCTTTATTTTTGGAAGGGTCTTCCTTGTTTCTTCTCTTTACATCCCAATTATAAACTCTAGCCATATCTGAAGGTATAAAATTAAGGAAAGAGGGAGAAAAAAAATGAAAGGATAAGTAAGTTATTAGCTTGCTGCCCATAACTCATTTCACTTACTCATGATAGTCAATATAGACACCAATTAATGAAAACACCAATTAATGAAAGAGCTGTCTTGGAGCAAAAAACTTTATATTAAAATGCTAATATTTGTTATTGTTAGTATCTGTAGCATCTGTATTTAACACTGTAATATGGTATTACCAAAAAAGAAAAACCACCAACAACAAAAAGCAACTTTTCTTACCACTCCCCTCTTTTGCCTTCAGTCAACCTGCCCAAGCTGCCTCCTATCAGTCACATTTGCCTGTTTCGGGCATTCACCCTGCATCGTGACATATCTTAAATATCAACACTAAAAACCAGTGCCTTCCTGTACCGTATTATCTAATGCTTCTGTTGAAAGCTGTGCTCCTGGCTAAAATAGTTTTTAAAAAAAAGAAAAAAAACCCTCAATTCCTGGAGTTCCTGGAGGGGGTTCATGATACTGTAGAGAAGTCAGAGACGTGACGCACCAGTGGCTACAGCAAAACGGGCTCCGTGGGCTCCGGCACCGCTCCAAACCTTCCATTCATTCCCAGCCATTGCAGTTGTTTTCATAGGGACCCAACTGCTGGCCCAAACTTTGCCCTGTCAAAGCTGCCATCCTCACCCGGGCACTGGAAACACAATATCCAGTGTCACTGCTGAGAACATTCCTGGAGCGCTACAGAACTTGAAACACAGGAGGTTAAGACAAGAACATGTCTGAAAATTAGTAATTCCCAGAGGTTACCCATCATATCTACTACCTCTCCTGCAAATAAAAACAAGCAAGCAAGCATGCAGAAAAAGGATACTGACTTCTGTAGTGGTAAACTGGTCTCTAAGAAAATCCAGGTCTTCCTCTAAAGAATCAAGGTTTCTTGTGGCTGTTGACAAGTTCTTCTCTAACAGAGCCTGAGCTTCATCAATATCATATTCAAGCATCACATTGGCCTAAAGAAAAGAAATATTTTTAAGCATTAAAAAAAAAAAAAAAAGGCTTTCACTCTTCTTTTTACAATAGGCCCTGGCAGGAGTATTTCAGCCTGTTTCTAACTCATCGCATTAACAGAAATGTGCCCTCTTACACCAAGACTGGCAAGATCAACGGAGAGCAAAGCCCAAATTCACCTGGGGCCGCCTCAACTTGAGTAACTAAGAGACAAAACCTCTAGAGACATGAAAAAGAAAGTTCTCATTGCTGAGCAACAAGGGCTTCTGCTCTCTGTGGGTTGCACTGTCCCTTTGATGCATCAGCATCTCATCTTCCATCTTCATAAACCTCCTAACATTTCTTAGCAGTTAAGTGATTTTTAAAACAATTTTTGCCACATTCAAGTTTAACCTTAGGAACTCTCTACCTGGGACACTGGCAAACTCCTAACACGGCTAGTTCAAGAAGTCAATAATAAATTATTACAGATATCCCAAAGCATAGGGTGTATGACAGCCCTATCCCAACCCGCAGGGCCTTTATCTCCAAATCTTCATTTCCATGAGGGGCTACCGCGTGAAGAGAGAAACAAGCAGCACTGGGTCAGGCTGTGTCCACAGAGCCCTGTCCTGGTCAGGGACTGTGCACTGAGCAGATCTCGAGCTAGCACTGCTTAACCAGACACCGCTCCAGGGATGCTGAGCAGAGCTGAAGCCTTTTCTGTTTTCCCACTGTAAGTAACTGGAGAATGTAGTCACCCCGATAAAATGAAACCACATAGTCCAGCTGAGACAGACTGTGAGCCTCAAGGAAAAGGCAGAAAGCCAAAGAACACCTAAACATTAAAAACTGCTTGTGCTGTTTTGTGATGCTTTTCTGTGTAAACCACCAGGAGGATAAACTGCCTCCAACACGGTGGCGAATCAAACCTGCAACGATGCTGGGAAGTCAGGCAGGAAATTCTGCAGTTCTTTGAACGCAACAAGAGTCAGACAGAACTCTCCACTTATGATAGGAAAATAGTGGAAGAGGAGTTTGGGAGCAACCCCCTAATCAGACAGCATCTGCTGCTGCATTTATCAACACGGCTTTTGGCTTGGCCGGAACTTTGTTTGGCAGCCGACTGCATGGGAACATCGGGGATTTAGAAGCCTCAAAATAAACACTGGTTATCTCTACAGATAAGGAAGCCTCCAAATAGGGACTATCCCAACCTGGTACCACTTAAGTATATAGAAATCTGAGTTTTGAGCTGTGATCCCACCAATCTTTAGTAATAATTCTGCATACTGGTAAGGGGGAAAGACAGAAATGCTGTGAGGAAGAAGCGAGCACAGCTTCCCAAAAGGTACGTGAAAAGGACAGCAAGATGTTAACTACAAGTAACAGCTATAGAAAAGGGGAAGGTATATGCCAAAGCAATTTGTTGGGTTGGACATGTGCCAATCCCAAGGAACAGTGGATAGCAAATGTGATACGGAAAAGATTTACAAATGTGTTTTTCGAAAAGGAAAAAAACGGAAGTTATAATGTTCTAAAAGTTTTATGATTATGTTCTGTATAGACACCAAATAACACAGCAGAGGAAACCTCTACTAATGCACTGAAGTTGTCTGTTCAGGTTGCACCACTGCCCTAACATGGCTCTACTACACACAGCAACAAACAGTGTCCTCGAAGGGAACAGACGAGTCAGCAGCAAAGAGGGGCTCTTGCTTGAACCCGTAAGAGGTGACGAGCAGCTGCAGGACACGTTGCGTTTTACTTACCCCCAACCACAAACAAACTTTGTCTGTAGGAGGAACTGAAGCTTTGCAATACAGATTATCTGCCAGTAAAAATCTGGTTTCCATTGGATTTGTGGATTCCTAAAGACAAATGATACAACTTAAAATTACTATTTTCATTGTAAACTTACGTCAGAGACATAAAAATCACAGTAAAGAGCACACTTCCCTGCTTTTACCATTGATATTATATTAACTTCTGTGGAACTATACATAATTTACTTCAAGATAAAAATTAGAACCAAAGACTAAAGCATTTTAAAAATACACATTTAAAAACAATATAAAAATTCCATAAAGACTAGAGACTAAACCCAAGCTTAGTCGCAATCTATACACTCTTAAATATGAAGTCTCCATTACAAGCACTATTTTTTTTTGAACTAGCTTTCAAAAAGAACTACATACCTTTAAAACAATTCTCTTATTTTTAAAGGCATATTAAGTGTGCTCTCCAAAACATTTCTTGCAAAGTGTTCTGTTAGGGTGGAAAGGCAGTTAGCTTTACTCATACTCTTTAGATATTCAAAATAGTTTACCTTTTTCTTCTGCATGTGTTTTAAAATTTCTAATGTCTGTTTAATTTCAGGAATCTGACTTTTTAGCCTGTGAATTAACAACAGTCATAATTTATTATTTTACACAGACACAAGTTTCCTAAACATGTGATCAGTTTTATTACATAACCCAACTTCCATTTTAAAACTTGAAATTCTAGCAGCTTTTCAGACTTAAAAGTAGAAAGTTTAAAGATATAACACAATATGTAATAGTAGGTAAAACATCTCTTCTACATCCTCACCTGCCTCTTATCATACTTGAGACTGAACAATCTGTCATTAACAAAGCAGCAGCACAACATACAGTTTTCAGAATTCAACCAACATTTATTACCAATAACTTAGTCTGATTGCCAAAATGGCACATTTTTGCATATTTCTGCTGTCAACAGAGACAGGTTCTGGGAACCACAGAAGAAACAGGGACAAAAATCACATCAGATTAAGCCAAGCCCGTTCTGAGGAGCCCGGCCTGCACTAGCGGCAGGACTGGGCGGCATCGGACACCAGCCCGTTGTGTCCCGGATCTGCGGATCGGGGACACCGGCCCCCGCGGCAGCCTGGCCGGACACGCAGCTCCTACAAATCACAAGGGATTCTCCGCCGTGCAAACGAGCTTCATCTCAAATAAAAATGTTATCCAGAGCTGGGATTCGGGGTTTAAAGACAAAATGTGTTTCTTTGCTAGCTTCAGATCAGCACTGAAGCTAATGAAGAGACAGGAGCCAAAAGTTACAGGCTTGATCTAAAAGCCATTTGTCATATTATATTCTTATTTACATTGGACTGAAAAAAAAAAACAGAGCGAATAACAGTCTTTTTGGCTTTAAAGGCTAAGGACCAGTTTAGCAACACTGCAAGTCTTTGCAAAGAATCCTCACGGTGGGGAAGGGAAGGCTTTGTGACTTTCTAAAAGTACTGCAAGTAGCAGTTCTTCTAATAATATTTTTTTTTACATTTAATTAGCTAGATCCTATTTTAAAAGCAGATCAACGCTAAATATTTCCCCATAACAAAAGTCAAAACTTACCTCCTTTTCTTTTGAGCAAGATTAAGTTCCATAAATTTATACTTCTGATACTGCTCGTCCAACTTCTTAAGGACTATATCTGCTGTCTCATTCCCAGGCTGCTTCATAAAGGAATCTACATCTTCCTTTATGGGGAGAAAAAGGACATCAAAGTTAAAATAGTTCCAGAAATTCCAGACTTACTCGTGTTATTATCTTAAGGCAACTAAGCCTAGAGACATTATATGTAAACTGAAACATTATTAAACATTATTATTAATGTTTATTAAAACATTTTTTGTCTGGAATAAAGTACTAAATCATTTTGTTTCTTTTTTTAGGTGGCCTTTGTTTTGAAAAACACACTGAGAGAACCAAGAAACAGATGTGAGGAAGGTTTCCTAACCACACCTGCTAGCGGTAATTGTGGTGCGTTCAGCCCTGGGCAATGTTAAATGGGATATCCTCAGGCCAAGCCCAAACTTCAGTTTCCTATCTGTAAAGGAGGGATAAGCCTTCTTTTTAGTCAAAGAGATTACAAGTTATTTAGGGTAAGACTAAAGAAATAAAAAGATTCCTGGCCTGACCAAGCAAGACTACGGCGCAGGAAGAGAGAGGCGAGGAGGAGAACGGTGCCATTTGCCCAGCGATTCCAGCCAGTCCGGCCACCAACAGGAGCCGTGGGGAAGCGGGAGCCACGGGGAAGGGGGAGCCCTGGGCAGGGGAGCGAGTTCCTCCCCGGCCACATTGAGCTCTGCCCCAAGGCAGGGCCGCTGCTCTAGTCCCTGCGCTGGTTCTTTTGCCAGTCGTCCACACAAATCCTCTTGCCTGCTGCACATCTCCAAACTTTCCAGATTTACGACTATGAAAGTGCTTTGAATTCTGATGCCAGAATCCCATAAACCCGGATGAAGGCCAATCACAGCCCTTTTCCACTTACCCCTTTATTGCTATGTGTTCCCATTCCAGTTTTGCACAAAGACTATAGTACATTAAATTTACACATATAAAAACTATAATATTTATAGACTACAGTACATAAATTTATAAATATAAATTTATAGATGCTTTGCCTTTAACTTATGGCCAATCTGCCTTGGCAAGGAGAAACATTTCGAACCCACCAAGGTGGCAGATGCCTGGCGGCTTCCTGCAAGGGAGCAGGACCGCGCAGCAGGCGCCACCAGCGCTGCCCAGCTCGGGCACCGCAGCCAAGCGGCCCCGAGCTACCAGCGCCACCGACACGAGGGCCCTTCCTGCCTCCCTGTGGGGCCTGCGGGAAGCTCCAGCTGGAAAAGGAAGGTTGGGTTCAGTGCAGTAAAAGCAAAGTCACAGGGTGCTGGGAGCGCGACTCCCTCTCGTGGACGCTGCTCCGCGTGCAGAGGAGGCAAAGGCAGCAGGTAACGGGTGGCAGGAGCTCCTGCACACACGGGAGGACTCCGGGAAGAGTGGGGATGGGCAGGCAGGTCTTGCCACGAAAAATGTCGAGACCTGTCCTGGAGAGGAGCAGGTCCAGCTCCTCTGCGCCCGGGCCAGGGCGCCCGGAGCCGGGAAAACCTTCAGCCCGGCACCTGCTGCCAAGGGCCAGGCCCGGGGCAGCCCGGCCCGCGCAGGGTGGTTCAGCAGCGGTGCTGCCCTGCAGTCCCACGAGCACCTCCCAAACAGCCCCATTACGGGGGAAATTCTCTGGGCAAACACTGCTCTTGGACGCGGCAGCAGCAAGGCAGCCCTCACCAACGCCACGGGAAGCCGGCCCAGAGGTACCAAGCTCTGCAGAGCGCCCTGCCCGCGGCGCTGCCCCTGCGCTGCAGCGGCTCCTCCCAGGCGCACGCGCACGGCGCTGAGGAGCTGGAGGGCTTGGGCACCTTCCGAAAACTCAGGACTCACCGAGTCCCTTGAAACGCGGAGGGGCAGGAGGCCCCGGCGGCTCCAGCAGGGCCGGTGAGGAGGCGCCCGCTACAGGGCGCCCTCGAGGGCACCGGCCCTCAAAGACTCGAGGCAGCCTCTGCGAAGACGCAGCGCAGAGAGCGGCCGCACGGCTCAACGCGGGCAGCTGAGTGACGCACGACTCTATCACCACCCTGGCGTGCAAATTTCTTAAAAACCTTCCATCATCAAAAAAAAAAAAAAAATCTAAGAAGAAAACAACAAAAAATCACTCTCAGACAATAACAGCTTCACCTCCTAGAGCAGGGAAAATTTCTCGGCACATGATTATTTTGAATAAAAATGAAGTCCATCTTAGCCCCTACAATAACTCCGCATACAACAACCAGCACCTAATGCCAGCCGTTACCAGGTGCTCTAGTGCCAGACACAGGACCTCTTCTGCAGACTGCAGACACCTTCTCTCTCAAACTGACAAACGGCTCAAGCAGCTTCCACGGGTTGTGAACAGAGAGCTGCAGGAACACGGTCAACGCGGAAACGAGGACGGTCGTTGCCGCCAGCAGGATAGTGCTGGCGGATCTCTCGCATGCTCCATGAATCCTAAGGAAAGGCCGGACCCGGTGCCCCGGGAGCACGTGCGGGGACCTGTTCGCTTGGGCTGCGGAGCGGAGCTTGCGGAGCAATGACACTGCACAAGTCGCATCAGCTCTGCCCTCAGCAAGAGCTGCCAACCGCTCGGCCCGGGCACAGACCTCTGGAGAGACCTGACCAATGTGGGGCTTTAAAGGCTAAGAAAACCTCGGGAATAAAGCGGCAGGACAGAGGTTCCAGGTGGGCATCAGGCCCCAGCGTCAGGTGCGTCAGGAACCCGGGCGTCAGGTGCTTCCGTGCAGCAGGAGCGCCGGCGGCCCCAGCCCTGGGGCGCCCCGACCCCCTCCCTCCCTCCGGGGAGCCCCGCGGCAGGAACCGACCCGCGGGGCCCGCACCGCAGCCAGCGGGACCCGCACCGCCTCCCAGCCAAGAGGCATCAACGGCGCCCCGACGCCAGGCCGGCTGTAAGCAGCTTTCTTCTTCTCCAGCCGAACACTGGAATTACTAAGCGCTGCCCAAACCACCTTAGGCCCTCACCTACCACCTACAGCCGCAGCCTAGACCGTTTGTAGCGAAACAAACAAACAAACCGCCCCGCGCTCCGCAGGGAAACCAGGGGCGCTCCCGGGCAGCGGCTCGGCCGGGACGGGCTCCGGGGGCGCGCGGGGAGCGGCGGCGCCGCGGGCCGCAGGGCTCGCGCACGGGCGGCGGGGCCCGGGCTCTTCCCAGGGCGCGCCGGGCTCCGCGGGCGGGCGGGAGGGCCCCGCTGCCCGCCGGTGCCGCCCGCCCCGCCCCGCCCCGCCGCTCACCACGAAGGCGGCCTCGGGGATGCCGAGCGGGCCGCGCCTCGCGCCGCTCCCCGCCTCGCTGCCGCTGGCCGCCGCCATCTTGGGAGCATACGCTGCGTGCGCGGCGCTCGCCGGGACGCCGCGGAAGTGCGTCATGAGGGCGGTGCCGGGGACCGCCTCCGCCACGCGGCTATTGCCTGCTCGGCCTTGAGCGACGGGCGGCGTGTGGGCGGGGCGCGGCTTGGAGGCGGGGCTCGAACTCAGGAGGCGGGGCCCGAGCTCAGGGGGCGGGGCCCGAGCTCAGGGGGCGGGGCCCTAGAGGGGCCGCGTCCGGGGAGGCCTCGGGGCGCTCCAGGCCCCGCCGCGTCCCAGCAGGGCAGCGGGGAGCAGGGAAGAGTTCAGGAAAGGCGCTACAGCCCCAGGGAAAGGAGGGGGAAAAGAAAAAGCCTCTTCCTGGGGGAAGCTTCTCCATTGGGAGAGCGCTGTAGAAGTGGGGGCAGACGCAGGGCTCTCCCCCGAGGGCGGTTAAGTGGTGAGGTCCGGTCCAGGCAGCCCCCAGAGCACAAACCCTCGCCCAGCAACAGCGGGGCCGGAGGGGATTAAAGACTCCAGAAAGTCCTGGTGCAGCTACAAGCAGTAAGCGAGGCCCAGGCTGCTGTACTGCTGCTTTTGCAGCTCCAGCCATTTACACATCCCTGCCCTCGGGGAGCAGATGAGGGAAGTTAAGAACACAAAATATTGTGAGAAATGCACCCGTTTTAACTGTGATCAGTGCAGAGCTGGTTTGGCCCTGTGGCTGGGGGAAGCACCTTCCTCCTGCCCCTTGCCCGCGCTCAGAGCAGCGGCTGCATCTTGCTCCTCCCAGGCGATGAGGGGGACACGAGTGCTGCCTCCTGGGACCAGCCTCCCTCGGGCGAACCCCTCCTGCCTTCCTCTGCAGCACTGCACGCACAGCCCCACCAGCCCTTGCCAACGGTGCAAGGAAGGCCTCAGCGGACACAGGAAGGACCACACACCCCCTAAATGTGCCAAAGTTTATTTTTTTTTTTTCAAAATCGCTTTCAATTGACTGAATATGAGCAACAGCCTTTAAAAAAAAAAAAAAAAAAAAAGAGTTTGTATCTCAACAAATTGTGAAGTTAGAATGTCAACAGAGCCTGTCTTGTGCTTCGGCTTTTCTTTTTCCCGTATGTAAACCCTCTTTTTTCAGTCTGTGGCTACAGAATTTTTCATGCACTCTGAATCCTTATAAAAGGAAGGAGCTCCTGTGAAGGAACAGCCACACAAGAATATACCTGTAAAACAGCTTGACCAACCTCAGTGTGTGTAGCTCCTTTCAAATAAATATCCAATAAAGGCACAAACCTGTCATGGGGAAAAACGTAACATACAAAACAAGAACTATTAAATAAATAGTGTGGGTTGGGGAAAATCTGTTCCAGCACCTATTTTTGTCCTTGCTCCAAGATGAGATTCCAGCCAAACATTCAGTAAAGGATAAACATAATCACAAGGCTACACACTTCAGATATACTGAAAGACCTGATGTTACAATTTGCATTGCAACTGTACCAGTTACTACAATCTCTTTAAATAAATGCTCATGAGAATCTGCACAAAGTAGTGATGCAGCAATGTACTCGGTGACAGATCAAATACATCTGCAGAGTAATAGCAATGTAGTTTCTCTACATTCCTAGCTACCAGTAAATGTATAAATGGTAACATGTACAGTTTCCATTGCTCAAAAATATAATCTTTGAAACAGAAATAAATGACTGATACACAGTGCCTTTAGATGTTGTCCTTACAATACAAACTACCCCAAAACAAAAGTTTTCCCTTTTATGTACAAGTTAAGCACCGATCCACAGTGCTTGCTATTCTAATTATAACCCACCCTCCCTGCCACACATCAAAAAAGCAAAACAAAAAAACACCCAGATGCGGATACACCCTGTATTCAATGTTGTAGTCAGAAGTTATTCAATGTTTTACAAAAGTTCATTTGCTATTTTTACCTACAAGTATTCCACCACTATGCGCACAGAACTGAGATTTCTCTAGTACATAATTTGTCTGAAATTTAAAAAATTGAATTCAATAACTTCTTGGAGGCAAAGTCAAGCTATGTTTAAAGAACATTAGAAAACCCTCGGTTATTTAAAAAGAAGTACACTTTCCAGCCGGGCAGGCCCAAGGCAGCCACCGCTCCCGACACCGCCGCAGGGGACGCATCCCGCGAGGGCCGCCCGGCAGCGCCCGCTCCCGGCTCGGCTCCGGCGGCCGCTCAAGCGCAGCCCTGCGGAGCGCAGCGCCTGCCTCCAGCCCTGCTCCCGCACACAGGGACGCCCAGCTCCCTTCCTGAAGCACTCGGAGCAGGATCCTGGCCAAAGGAATTGGTGAGCAAAAGGGAAGTCACGTGTACACAGGGTTCTTCCCGCTTCACGTATCACAACTATTTACAACTGCAGCGCTCAGGGCAGTTACCCTCCAGAACAACCTTTACCTGCAACATGCTTTTTTGGAGAACAAATTAGGTGCCCTAAAAGCCTTGACAACACCCCAAGTCCTTGCCTTTATTTCTAAGCAAGTGAACAATGTTGCTGTCTAAAACAGAGCACTTGTCCATGCTGTGCATTCCAGTATGCCCACAAGGAAGAGGCTGATACAAAGCAGTCCTGCACATTCTTGCAAGGACAGAAGCATTTAGCAATCTTTTCTTCATAAGGATAAATCTGTAAGAGCTGTGTTTGAACATGTCAAACACCTTAAATGAGACTAAAGATAGTTTATAAGGTCCTTATAACATACTTTGTGGCTGTTTCTCCTTTATTTAATACTAAATAAAACGGTATCAGACAGCTTCGCTACAAGAAAGCATACCAAAGTATGCAAAAAATCCAGAGCAAATTTGAAGTAGCGCAAACAGTACTGGATTCCAAATCCATTTCTAAGTGAGGTAAAATACATTCCAGATCTTTAGAATGCACTGTAAAAAGAGCTGCAAATAATGTGTGTATATATATACACTGCCTGCAAAGTACTTGTTTGCATATTAAAAATAACTGATCATGGCTTATACAATGTAGAATGGAGAAAAAAATCAAACAGTTCACTGTTTCAGACACTGCCTGGTTGTAGCTCTCAGCTATGACATCAGTGCTCAAATACCTATTACTAGACATGATTTTCTAATTGGAATTCAAGATTATTCAATATAGAATAAATCAATGAAATTAATTATTTCCTAAATAAACACCACCACCACACACAGAGGAACAATGATCCAATTCCAAGTGGGAACCATTCCCTCACCATGAATAGAGTTGCTACAGGCACCGGAGAACTCATTGGCTTAAAACTGTACAATTTTCCAACCCAGGAAAGGTGAGTAAAGCTTGAAGCCCTTATAATTCAAATTTTCATGTTAAATTGCTGTATATCACTTCTACTCTTCTGTACACATTCAGAGTCTGAGAACTTAAAACTTCTTCAAGGTTAAGCTTCTCAAAGGTTTACAGTTACTAATTCCAAGGGTTGTAGTTTACTGTTTTACTTGACAAAGTATTTTTGTAGTACTATTAAAAAAATACTTCTTTTGCAATCTTTGAATGAAGTTTAGAAAATTACAGAGTTGATTTTCACTGTATTTTGCAAGTTCTCTATAGGACAAGGTTTTCGGGCCTCTGCATTTGTAATAAGATTCAGAGATACCTTACAAATACAGCACTATAGCAAAATATAAAAGCCATAGTAGTCTCGAGGACTGGAACAACAGAATATATTGTTTTTGAAAAACTCAACTCCAATGCTAATCATCAGTAGAAGCCACATTACAGGAGAGCTTTTCACTGCATTCTCCCACCAAGCTGGAGAAAGGTTGTTTCCGATTGCACTTACTCATTATTAACTTTTCTTTAAGTGCTATCACATTTTATTGGGTGTTTAAAGATACAAGGTAAGGCATTTTCATAGCCAACCTAAGTTTTGGAAGAAATCTGTTTAATATGACAGATGCATCGAAAGCCTGTGTCTCTAACCCGCAAACAACAGCATACTTCACAGATCAGTTGATTCACATGTTTTTCCTCTCAAAAAAGAAGTCTGGATTTCTTCTTACGGCATAATCATCTTAAAAATACTACAGAAGAAAGAAAACATACTGCAGCATTGAAAAATATTTCAAAGTTTGCACATATTTACACATTTAAAATAACTGTGGTTTGCAAATAGGTTCCTGTTTCAGAAAAGAAGCACAAGCTAATCCCTACGGCTGGGACAATTTTAATGCAGTTGCTAGTTCTGGAGCATCACCACTATTGCAAGGCTTGCTTTTTCTGAACTAATGAAAGGAACTTTAAAACTAAAAGAAGTTACGTCTCTTAGCTCTTTTGCAGCTAGCAGCAAAGTTTTCTAATCGCTCCAGTTTGCTGCTGTCGGGGTACGCACTTCCACTGTAACAAAGTCACTACATACTTTTTTCCCTACTCTGAGACAAGACCTTTAGCCTGTGCCAGAGCCCGGCCCTTTCAACTCGCCATGTAACACTGACATTATGCCAATGGAGCAATTTATTATTTCCAACATTTATATAAAATATACACATATATTTCTTGTTGATTCACAGCATTTAAAACTCACATTATAGAGTTTATGAATTATTATAAGCTAGGCTAATGTGAAAAAGCTGTCTGATTTCATATAATATTGGCTTTATGATAATGCAAGCATTACTCTATCAGAGTACTTATTAGAGCATATGGAAGTTTTATTGCTCAACTTCATTTGAGTTGTGTCTTGGTTAAAACAGCCACAGAATTTATGGAGAAAATAAATAGGATTTATGGCATTCTCAGTTAACTTCCTACAGGCAATCCACTGATGAATAAGATTGCAAAGCAATCACATAACCCTCTTCTCAGAAGGTGCAAGTTGGATTCTCATCTTCAAAGCTGAGTTGACCTCAAAGATTACAGTTTCCTACTGAACAGTCTAAAAACCAGTGAACAAACATGATTTCATACCACAAATGACTGTTATAAACAAGAATCTCTAAAGCATTGCAATTCAAATTAATATTACATTATACAGGGAAGAAACAGTTGCCCTGTTCAAAAATACACCATGGGAAGAACGAAACTTCAGTCTTTTCTTTTTACCAGTATTTGGTTGTTCACACACCTTGTTGCTTTGGTGGCTTTACATGAACTGTATCTGTAAAGTAGAGATTACATATTGTTAATGCCACTTTCCTAACACACGGACTCATACCTCTAAATCACTGAGAAACCAGGCGAGAGGTTTTTCAAAATAAAACAGAAGTCTCCCTCACCCCCCTACAAATCTGAAAGTGCACTAAGAACAACATATCTAGATATACCTAGGTGATAGAATACACAATGCTTTTCACTTGAACAGTCTTGAGTGCCTCTTTATTTCATAATCCTCCAGAAACCTCTCAACTGCCATAGTCAGTATGACTGAATTAGGTATCAAGACAGGGCCATCAGAAGCCTTTAAGTTCATTCACTCTCTGCTCCCATTTTCTTAAGGTCAACCCAGCATTGTGTTACGTTTCTGATCTGCTGCTCTCCACCTGTGCTTTCTTCCTTGCTTCCTCTGCATGCTTTCATCATTCTCTCACCTGCAAAAACCTGTTGCCCCTGTTTCAGAAACCCTTCACCTTCTCTGGAGCAGAAATAGATACTAATAACCCATCATGAAAGAAGATACTGGGTTTCATCTAAGACTGGAGTTCTAATATGAGCCTAAGACTGAAATGAACAGTTCACCTGAGTTCCAGAAACAGGTGCAAAAGGGTTTGTTGGCCTTAGACCAGGCTGTGTATACATCATTGACTGGGGTGCCATCAAAGGAGCAGCTCCAATCTGGGGAGGTACCTACAAAAAAAACCAAAACAGAAACAGGTGGTAGACAAGTAGTGTATACAAGTCCACTGAATTCTAGAAGATAGATCTTATTTTTTTTTATTGCAAGCAAAGTAGCAGCTAAAAAAAACATACACAGAGTAATGGCTTTAAAGAAAATTTGCTATATAAATTTTAGAATAACATCTTTCAATGTACAATGTAAGAGTACCATTTAACTTCACACAATATTGAATTTATGAAACCATACACAAATTGCACTACAATTTAAACATAGTAATGCTTGTCATGACCAAAGTTAAAAAAGTTTTTGGGGAGTACAAAACAGGCAAGTTTCTTACCATTCCATATACAGGCACTTGAGGTGTGGTCACTGGGTATGCAATAGGAGCGGGTACCTTCAATCATCAAAAAAGAAGTTATTTTGGATGAGTTCATGCATACTAGTAACTTGCACTAAACCATACAAATGATTTTAATAGTCAAAATAGCTAACATTTACAAGAAATTGACTTACATATCCAGGATAATGTACTCCATTCTGGCAGGGCAAAAGGAGTAAGGACAGAAAATTATTTAAGAGGTCAAACTGAAATTCTAACCAAGGGATAGACCGAAGGCCAGCACCAAGATTATCTACAAATACGCTAAAGTCACTAACTAGAACAATTCAAGCAGCCAAAAAAAAAAAAAAAAAAGGCAGTAATATTAGAACATGAGCAACTGTGCCCAGTAACTTGGATAGGCTCCCTACCTAGGGCCATTATTTACAATAGTTGCAACAAAAATAGAATTTTTACTAAATGTAACTACATTTGAGAATACTGCTTTCATAAACATTTGGATGAGAAGCTTTTTGGAAAGCATGCAATAGTCCTTCGTCCTATTATGTGTAAGAAGAGTACAGGGAAAGAGAAAGAGAAACCCAGTGACCAGTCAGCCCAATAAATGAATAGAAAAGGGTGTGTATTCAGCCAAAATATGGCTCATATACTAAACTTAATTCTGATGTCTGCAATATATCACAATACAAAAATAAATAGAGACACACAAAGTATTTTAACCCAGGTTATGGGTTAACTTAATACCAGGTTATGTTAGAGGCACAATGATGCATTCACCATATATTGCTCTGCATTCTTATTCAATGCTAATTATGTTAAACAAAACCTACTGAAGTGCTAAAGTACTTGACTATGAAAGATTATATGCAAGACTGACAATTACTACAGTTTCTGAATGCCACACACCGAGTCAGGACGCTTGGGCCATTCCATCTGCTCAGTTACTGACTTCAGAAACAGCTCCTAAGTAAGGGTGTTCTCTGCATTGATAACTTGGACTTCTCAGCAAACAAGTGAGCTGATACACGGTATGAAGTACTCAAACACAGGCTTAAGCCAAAAGGCATAACATAAGCACACAGGAAAGAAAAAAGTCCACCACATATAACTCAAATATACAGTGATGAATGTGTATTATGGTGTCCCCCAGATAAGCACCACCCCAAAACGGGAATACATCAGCACTCTAACATAACGTGGCTCAGAGGGGATTTTTATGGACTCAAGTCTCACGCACTAATTATGACCTGAAATCACACAAGTACTAAACTACTGAGAGATTCTCTAGTTCAATTGTATTTGATTATAATTTCAAGCTTGTGTCTGCATTTAATAGCCAATGCAGCTTTGTGAATTTTGACTTGGCATACTCTCATCATCTGGAGAAAAAAAGAAAAAGATTAAGAATAATTTTCCAGTGTGAATAGTTTTATGTCAGACAGCTGTCCAAAATTCATAGGAAACACTACAATTATTACAGTTGCACCTGAGGTAAACATTCTGAAATACAGTTGCTTTGGAGGGAAGCTGAAGTGACCGGTATTTATACAAGTATTTGATCAGAAAAAAAAAAAAAGGAAAAAAACCTCATAGTACACAAGTCAGCTGCCTACAAATATCCTTCCAGGAAAAACAAACAACAACACATTCTCCAAATTAATTAATTCCATAACTTTTACTCAGCATTTGGTAGTGTTTGGAGTGTGATGAAGTTACTGGCAAGCACAATCAGAAATGTGAAGTGCTGAACTGATAAATAAGGTGGCTTGAAAGGGTTAAAATGCAGTGGCATTCCATGTAATGCATAGAAGAGGGAACAAAAATTCAAAAGGAACCTCAATTATTCGCCCCCGAAATAGGTTCTGAGACTTAAGGTGCATCTTGACGTCGAGGGCGGAGGTAATTTGTTTTATTTAAAGTGAAAAAATAAACCCCTCATGAATTTACATCTGTCGCAGGACGTGCTTACTATGAAAGGAAGTATACTAATATTTCTATCTCATTCAGGTTGTGAAATGATTTTACAAGCAGTTTTTCCTCAGTCTTGTCCAACGCAACCTTTGCTACTCCTTTTAAATTAATTCATGAAGGGAAAAAGGCATTTGCTAGTAACAAGTATGATTTCAATGGCACAGAAATTACCATATGTGGAATAGTGGATAAGGGAGTAGGATTCCACGTGGTTGATGTGCTTGTTTTCGCTTGCCAGTTTGTTCCACCAGTAAGTTTTTTCTCTGTAGGCTGGGTCCACTGCATATCTGATCTAAAATAAAAATATATTCACATTCAAATAAGGCCAGCAGATGAATAGTATCAACACCACACTGGAAAACAGGGGAAAAAGGTATGCTCTACAATATATGTATACAATTGAGATCTATAGGTGGTAAAAATATTCAAGATCTACTTCAGTAACTGCCTGTATCTCTACTCCAATGAGTATGATGCTTCAGGGGTCCGTTTTGTATTAAAAGTAAATTCACTATCATCTACTGCACAGTATGACGACTCAGGAGTTTTTAATGTAACTGCAAGATATTTTTATGGCTGCTCACAGAAATATTTTAAAAATATGGGAACTGAAAGAGTAAAGCATACCTCAAATGTTAAGTTTGCCTGCATTATGGTAACTGACCACATGAATGCATTGTTTCAACACTGTCCTTGACAGCAGCTTACTTTCCAGAGCCAAGAATCTTGCTATGTCAGCAAGGGTAAAATGTATCACACATTATCAGCCATTTGAGAGTATTACATGACATATTCACTTACTTTTTGGGTGGAGTTCCTCCAAAGCCAAGATCTGAAGAGAGAAAAGAAATACTCACATAAAATTGCTAAATACAATTAATTTGGTGGAGCAAGGGGAATCTTTTCAGTAGTAAACTGGAATATAAAATTTTAAGGCTTCAAACTTACTTCCCACAAGATTAGCAAGTGACGAATCAAGATCATTTGCCAAAATTTTTCCGCTTTGCTGACTGGCCAGAACAGTTCTTTGACTCTGTGGTGGTACTGTAGGTTGCAATACCTCATCTAGAAGAGTAAAAGCTAAAGCAAGACATAAAAGCAGAACATAAAAAAAAAAGCCGTTATCAAAAGAGAACACCACATCTATTGAAAGAAATCCATAAGCTAGAGAGATATCTTCCTTACATAACAGTATTAGTAGTTTTTTGGCTATTCACACGTGGAAGTTCAACGTGTCAGAAGTTTAAAGCTTCAGCAGAAGCACAGTTTAACCTCTCAGTCTTTCTGGAGTATTATTTTCTAGCACATTGTCCCAATCTATTTTAGCAGTAAATGGCGAAATTTTTAAACTAAGCTAAAGCCCTCGTAAAACTTCAGAAAAAAAAATTACTCAAGGCAGTTTCAAAGTGTAACTTCTTGCAAGAATATGGCCCCAGGTTCACAATACTGCTAGTACCTTGAATGTTCACATGAGTTCCTTCGCTATATGTTCACAAGAACTTTGAGTTAAATAGTATTAACCAGCAAAAAGATTTGTTATGCAAAGCACGCACCTAATTAGCTTTGCATTTTATTAGCAAGTACAATGCTTCTCAACAAACTTAGAAGGAATTTAACACATATCAAGAGAAAACACTGACATTAGAGAAAGAAAAACAGTCTTACCCATTTTAGAAACCCCATGGGCCACATTTGCAGTTTATTCTCCCAGGTGCCGTAAAAAAAAAAAAAAAAAAAAAAAAAAAAAAAAGAGTTATTACACATTAGAAGATTAAAGAGAGCAAATTTTAAAATCAAATAACTATAATTAAACTGATTGTCTATTATCTTGTCAATCCTATGTTACTGAGCTTACAAATGGTTATTACTTCAGCACTGTACCAGCAGCTAGGATTAGCTATTGGACAATCGCACACCACAGAATTTAAAAAAAGTAGATTTTATTTTTACCATTAGTTACAAAGTAGATTTTATTTTTACCATTAGCAGGCCTGTACTCTGGTGTAGTAGATTTTCCACCAAAAACAGCATCAAAGTCTGCATTAATTGATGAAGAGGTGGTATTCGGAGGAGCTGAATGAAGAGGAAACCCTAAACAATAATTTCAGGATAAATTAATTACAGCCATTGAGCAGATATCACTCATTACATTTAAATCAAAGTGTTAAAAATGAAATTACCATCAACAGCAAGAGGATGATACACAGAGGTATACGCAGGTTTATGACCACTAAAGTCATCTTCATGAGAAAAGGAAGGAAATAAGATCAGATTAACAAAAAAAGGAAGGGGGAAAAAAATCAAGACTGCAACTATAAGAATTTAGGAATAGGAAACAACTACTCAGCAAATCTGAAAAATGTCGGTTAACTCTGGCATTACCTATCACAAAAAATCCAGTTTAACAGAAATCAACCAAAAAAAAAAAAAAATCCAAGATAGCAGTACTTGGATGCCTAGGTTGGGCAAGCAAATGAAGTTGTTCACTAATATTTCAAGAATTAACAAGCTATTTGCCCTTGCTAGCAAAAGCTGAATGTTGGTTCAAAGCACAACTACACACCACAGTTTATTAGTAGTGTTATCTCCCACTGGAAAGAAATTAAGCGGTGGGTTTTTTTTGTTGTTTTTTTTTGTTGTTTGTTTGTTTGGTTTTTTTTGGCTTTTTACCACTGAACAGTTCCACTGTTTGTTTGGAGGAAAATGTAGAACTGATGAAAGAGGTGGCAGATTTTACAGCTTCTTCAACTGGCTTCATGTTAAAGATGTCCAGATGAGGTGGAGAACCAACAAAACCATTTGAAGACGAGAAAGGACCTTTGAGATGAAGCAGAAGTAAAAGAAAGAAAATAGAGAACACAAGTAGAGAAAAATAGATTGAAATGACTGTACATGAGAATTTCTAAAACTAGAAGCAGTAGATTTTTCTCTTATGACCAGCCCCATTGCAATACAAACTCTTAGTTTCAAATGAATAACTTAACAGTTCCCTATTTAGAGAAAACATAATTCTAGTAGAGGCATGAAGTAGGAAGTGGAGAATATGAGAAAATTCACCAGTAAAAAGAATGGTCATAAATTACTGTTTAGGTTTTTGGGATACACCTTTTAAATAGTATTTAAACGTATTAGATTCACATATTAAAACACCAGAACTTGTAACAGTCTTACTTTTGCCTTATTTCAGGTTAAGTTGTATTTTTTTTTTAATGCCTGATTATTTTGAAGGAATGAGAGAAGGCATACAGAATGTCATCCCCATGAAACCAGAAACAGCACTGCAATAGGTACCACAAAGATACAAACATATTTAATGAAATAATGCATTTAATCTCTAAATTAAAAAATTAATACAGCACCATCTTTTCAGCTACATCTGCATCATTTATATTTGTCAACATATTTAGATTTTTGTTACTGGTTACAATTAGTCTTCTCCTCCCCTTTGTGGAATACCTCCTTCAATGCATTTAAAAAATTTAATAAAAGTTCTGGAACAGATGGCCAGAGCTTTCAGATTACTTGTTTTATACTCTATCAAAGATAAAAATACTTGGACACGTAGTAATTAAGGTTTAAACTGTAGATTCAGTTAAGCATGAATATGTGGTTTATTATGAAATAATTTTCTTGTATTCTAGTGATTCACCCATCTTTTATACAGTAAAGACTCTTGTAGCTGCTTACCTCCCCATGCACTGCTTGCTGATGTTGCTATAGCTGGAGTACTCTGTACAGTTGGAACAAACGCAGGCTGAAGATCAAAAAGATCACTAGAGAGGTTGGGCATGCTGGAGAGGAAGGGAAAGAGAAACATCAGATTAATAAAGGCATTATATTCTTGTGCTCTTTTTTTTTTCTTTTTAATTAAAGTAGAAGCCAAACAAGAATAAAGATACAGAACAAAACTAAGTAATTAAACACTTCTAACTGAAGTAGATCAAAACTCCTGTGAATACACCAGCAGCAAAAGATTATTTGTGAAGAGTGTTTCCTATAACGAGGATTTGGGGCCCGCTCTTGACAGCATAGCTACCTGGTCTGCGTCAGTTAGGCTTGCTTCAGAAAGCAAATGCTTCCTCACCTATTTGTTGTGGGTGCTGGTGCTGAAAAAAGGTCAACAGCTGCAGTGGTATTCACACTTTTTCCTGATAAGGTGCTTGGGGATGCTGATGTGGAAGTGGAATTTGATACCACAGAAATCTCTCTTAATCGTTGCTCCTGAAAGACATGATGTACAGTTTGAAAGTTTCATTAATTCATTAACTCTTCAGTTCTAATTCAGCTTTCAGTGAAAGAAAGAGTATCTAGTCTTGTTCTAGATTATGCTATACACTTCCTCAGGAAACAGTGGTAAACAGGTAATACACAGAAGGACCAGGATCAAGATCTTAAGAGGAAAAATAGCCTATGTTCTCACTACAGGCAACATTGCTGAAGAATCATGCTAAATCAGCATTCCATACTTCACAAGGGGCAAGGAACAAACCTCACCTAGTAATAAACAGTCCTGCACTAACAACACTTTATGCTCAACTACTGCAATGAGAATTAGAATGCTTATATATTCATTTCATTGATTTCTGAGATATGGATTCCAATCTCTTGAAAAGAAGGATACAAATGACTCACTTCAGGTGCTAGGTATTCCAATCATGCCCCTGGATGGAAGGGTTTCCATATATTGACAATCACCACAACTACAGAGTGAGGTTTTTGCCTCTCAAGGCTAGGTGTTCTCCCACACACACTAGCTTAAACCAACCCTGCCATTAACTTGTATCTAGTGAAAAAATCTTGGAATATAGTCTTTTAAAATATATAGTACCTTTAGTGCCTGCAATCTAGCTTGTTCTTCCTCCAATGCCTGCTGCTTCTCTTTCTCATCCATCCTGCTAAATGACATTCCTGTGCTGGCAAGCGTGGAAACAGCACTGGATAGGGCACTAGCTCTAAAAGCAAGAATATTTTTTTGAAGAGTTCAATATGGTGAAAGGACAATGCTCCAAGTTTCAGTGAGTAGGTACTGGAAAATGCATTATTTAACAATTTTATTTTGACTTTAAATGTCATATAGACTAGAATTTTATTCCTTTGAGTGGTGGAGGCAAGGATAGCCTATGCAGATGTATCATACAGACACCTAGAGGAAAGAAATAAAGAAGAAAAAAAAAGGCAACCCACCACATGCAGACATTCTTCCCCACACACAGCAGTTTAGCAGAGCACTGTGGAAAGCAAATCCTCCAATACTTTTGAGAAGTTTCTCATGCAAGAAAACAATCTAGGTATGGATTGCATGACCTGGATCACTATTTATCCACATTTCTGAGAGGGAATGTCAATGCCAAAAGAGATTTCTTCCTCAAGTCAGACAGTATCTCTGAAGTCAGAGGTGCTACTCATACATATGGATACCCATCTTGATAGAAAGTAGTGCAATATCTGTCAGCGTAAGACATCTCAAAATTGCCAAGATAGCTTAGATAAGTAGACTTTGAAATTTTCACAACAGGTTAAAACAAATTCAGGGTTTGAGGCGTCTATAACTGACAATAAAGATAAGCACCAGGCTGTCTTACCTAAAGACAAACTAAAAAGCTAACAAAAGCAAACAAAAACAAAATCCCCAAACTCAAAACACAAATAGCTCATAAGTCTTACAGGAGAGAGCGAGTTTCAAACTGGTAGAAGGTAAAAAAGTATAATACAAAGGCTTCAGCTCAGTGGTTTATTACCTCACAGTAAGAAGTCTGACAAATAAACAGGGACACAACAGAAATCCACTCATCAGGTGTGACTAAGTTACTAGAAAATTACTTAACTTATGCTTCATTAACACTCAAAGATAAATTTTTAAGGGAATAAAGCTCAAGAGAACCTTAAAGGGTTGAGTACAGAAGCAGCTTAGTGAGAAGCCCAAACTTACATACACCTAGATGAACATACACCACTGCCATTTACTCGGTGCTCACCTGCTTGCAGCAGAGACTTCTTTTGTTTTCTTTCCTTCCAAAGAAGCCAAATGTTGCTCCAAGGCTTCAAGCAAGCTGCTGGGTGCCTAAAGTTAAAGTACTCATAAAACACTGCTTCTCGACAAAACACTATAAGTGTTAATATAAAGGCTTGCACTAAAAACATTTGGTCACAAGAGTATGTCCTTCTTTGATAAAAATCAGAATAAAGTTTGACCTAAGATTTGTCCCCCAAATATTACAGAGCGAGTAGCTTTCTTAAATGCATAACTGCACGATATACTCAGTTTCACCGAGGTCTTCAGTAGCACTGAACACATCAAAAAGTAACAGCAACACTTCAAATAAAGTTAGGGTTTCTGTTGTTCTGGTTTTGTTTCTTTTGCTTTGGATCAAGAAAGTATCATTCATGAGAGAAAGATAAAAAGAAAAAGGCTGCACTTAAATCTAGCATGCAGTCTGGCACGTGAATATTTTGTTTGATATTTCAGTTGGAACTTGAGATGTCTCAACAAGTGTTAGGCAAACAATGCACAAGAGCCTATGAAGTCTTTTGGGGGCACAGATATGGTACTATTCAACACATGAGAATCCTAACTACTGATGCCATCAAAGAACATGTTTAAAAGACTAAAGAACCCCAGAACTGATTTAGTTCCAAAATAAATAAATAAATAAAAATGGCAACACTGCCAGTTACAACCTATTTCCTTTCTGTCATATATTTGTACCCACTCCTCAAAGTATTTCTTCCCTATCAGGAAAAACAGCTCAGAATAAGTTTGAAATGAACTTGATTATAAGTTAGTAGTTAGTAATACATCTCCAAGTCACCCTCACAAAAATAAACCCACCAAAATGCACAGCAATTAGGCTGGCACTGTTGGATGAGCTTACTGCCTTGCTGTTTCAGCTATATTACTCATGTCTTTCAACTACATAGGCCCTGCTCCACAAAGTGAGTGAATTAAAGCCTATAGCGGATTCAGATGAAGGAAATAGATCCTTAAGTTTTAATCTACTTGCCAGCTCAGTCCTCATCAACTGGCAAGGTTTCAGAGACATTAAACCTCTCTCGCCACTTGCCAAATTTCAGTAGGTCACATAAACATGGTAAGTCCCATTCAAAAGGAAAAACAAACTTGCGCTTGCTAGTCCTTCTGTCTAAAAACCAGACCAGTATATGTCCTGGAAAGAGCAAAATTAACAATCAGACAAGGCTTTGGTAACTCCCCATCTGAAACACAAAGTACAATTCTGGCTTCCCACATTCCATGAAGCCAGATTCAAGCTACAAGAGATGCAAAGAAAGGCAATTAGAATAATCCTATAAAACTGCTTGGCTTAAAGGTCTGAGTTGATGCTCCCTTCCATAAATAGAGCTACATAAGCTAGAAGAGAGTGCTGTTAGCACAACTGGACATGAATAAACTCAGCCGACAAACTGGATAGCTAAACCACCAAGGAAACAACATTTTGAAGGATATTTTCAGAAAGAAACCAAGGACCCAAAAGAACATTTTACATCTCAAGAGAAATGCAAGTTTGCAGTAAACATTATATTATGCAAAAACACAGATTTTTTCAGTAGCAGGGATCTGTACTCCAACTCTGGAAAAGTTTTCTGGCCTCTTTTTCCTGTCATGATTGCATTAACACCTATCTGTATGGAAAAACATGTCCTACATTTTAGGGAGTTTAAGGGGAAAGAAAGAAAAAGGAGAGAGACACCAATAGCTTCTCTGTAACTGCATTATCCACTTGAAGGGTAATTTGAAATGTATGCTCTCTTCTCCACACTCTCACTGCTATGGACACCCAACAAAACATCTGAGAGAGAAAAAAAAGCAGCAAACCACACACACCCCCATGCATCCCTAGATACATCTGACAGATTAACACCCATACAGGGGAAAGTAAAATACAGGAACAACTGAAATACACTGGAATGCAGTAACAACTAGCAGAAAATAGACAATGTCATTGCCAGTCAGGACACCCAGGAAGGACAGTGCCATTTCCTTGATAAGGATCAGTAAGAGTGGCACTATCGGTATACACAGCTAGACTCTAAGTCTTTTACAGCCAAGTAAAATAAAGATTTCAGTAAGTTTTTGGAAACTTATTAGGACAACCTCAGATGAAAACAAAAGAGAAATAAGATAAGTATGATTAAATCAGGGAGGACTGCAACATTTAAGCCAGCAACTTAAGATACTTGCGACAGTTTAAGAACACTTCAAGAACACAGAAAATGAGCCTTGGTAATGAAGTGTGACTATTTACCAGAATTAGTAAAGAAAAAGTTACATAAAAGTAAGCATATGGCTTAAAGAAACCAAAAACTGTCTCTCACTGAACAGTACACACAACAGAAATCTAAGCAACTAAAAATTAAAACAAACAAAAAAACCCTACATATATACATAATGTGGTATTACTTAATGATAATCAGAGTTACCATGGTCAAATTAGAGACTGGAATTTGAACAAAGGACAGCTATTGCAATTTCTTGACCATGATCCTATCAGAACTTATATCTGGACCATAAGCCCTTTGAAAACTAAAGCTGTTTTGAATGCCTAGTATTATGACATTTTAGAAAGTTGTTTTAAAATGGTACTAAATTGACTTACAATTATTCGGCTCTCCAGTGCCATTGAATAATTGACTGACAGTGGCACTAAATTGCCAAAATACATAGAAGCTCAGAGAATTGCCTTGCATGTCTAAGCACACTTAGAACAAGAGTTAAAGAGCTGCAGATTAAATGAGGAGATAAAAAGGCATCAAACAAATGCAACAAAAAGTTAGGTTGCCTATTCTTAGCAAATCAAGAAAAGCTTCATGATTTGAAGAGCCTTTTAAAGACCTGGCTAACTGGCCAAGTAAGAGCACACAAACCCCACACTGAAGTCAACACCAACTGTGAAGATATGTCAGCTCAAACGTAAGTATAATTTCATTAGCATAATGCAGACAAGAGCTGAAGAGGTAGTGCTGATTAGAAGATAACTGAGATAGTACAACGCCAACTGCTACTCAAAGGGTAATAGAGAACATCACTAGCCCTAACAGAACATCACTAGTCCTAATCCTATTGGCTCTAGTCATAGTTCTTTCCTACTGCAAAGGCCGGCAAGTACTTGAAGCAGTTTAATAATTGCTACAGCAATTAATTTTGTATTAGAGATTGGTACTTAGTAAGCAAATACAATTTGAGATGCAAGCTATATCATAGAACAAAAAGTACTCACTTTCAGATTTAGACTCACTAATTCAGACTTCATATTAAAACATATTAAAAGTTCATTTAACTTCATATTAAAAACACACACGAAATGAAATTTAGGCAAATCTGCTCAGGAAGATTTATTTACATGATTATCTTTGAAAATTAGTTTCTTGAAGACCGCATGGCATTGGACATTGTGTGAAATTCTAGTTCCTCTAGTGAGTAAATTTTCATGATCCGTAAAGTCCCCTTCCTCAGCCCAAGTACTCTAAAAATATATGGCACTCCTGACCAATTGTCACTTATTCTACCAAGCAGGTTCTTCAACACTACTAAAAGGATACCAAGCATGCCCAGTTATTTAAGGTTAATGCTAGGTTAGAAACACAACATTCTTATGAATGAAAAACTTGTTGTGCACTTTTGTGAGCTAACAACATTTCCTGCAGACAGAAATGTATGGAAGAAAGCATTCTATGATGAATGCTGATTATGATGCACACAAACCTTTAAAAACCACAAAGGACAAATTAATTGGGTTAAATCAATATGAAAGGTACACACTAACCTGTGTAAGATCTGGAATGTCACCCTGATCAATTCCAACTTGCTGAGTTTACAAGAAAAAGAAAAAAAATACATTATTACATGCAATGCAGTAATAATGAAAACAGAAATGAAGGTCTGAATTTTGTATAGAATGAACAGGTCTGAATTTTATATAGAAGCTAAAATATTTTAAAAGGGATATTTCAACTTCCTAAACTGGTATGCACTAAGCTAAAAGTATACTACAGAATTCTAACCATGCAATATAATGTATTTTTTCATGCAAAAAAAAACTTAATGGAAGCTTTGGAAATAATCACATTGCTTACTAGAATTTCTTCGGTTTGAGGGACTGCAGTAAAAGAGAGTACTATAAAAACACTAATACCCCGTCCATTCATTTCCCACTACTCATTTGTAACACCTTAGACAAAATTCATCCTGACAAACAAAAAGATGCCTTAGATGCCACTTCACTTAATGACCATAAACAAAGATTAAAATATCTAGTCTGTAAAATACTACTTTCATATAGTAAAGTTAAGCAAATAAATAAATGTTTTGAAGGCACACAATTACGAATATGTATCACTGCAACAAAACAGATGTCTAATTGATACCCACTGTATACGCATAGATTTATTTACCTCTGCTACTTTGAGAAATTCTGACAATTTGGTCATTCTGGCTAGAAATTTTTTGTAAATATCCAGACCTTCTTTGCACTGGTTCTTCTTCATATCAAAATATTTCTCTAAGGATGCAAATCAAAATAATAAATAGAAATACACTGTAAGTTAATATCATCCCTAACCAAGTTTCAGATACAACAGAAGACTATTATTACAAGAAGACTATTATTAAAGTTATTTGATTTTCAATATGATCACAAATCTCATGTGTCTTCTGACTGATTTATTACAAAACAACTACTGCTTTTCTTATTTCAATATACTAGCATATGATGCAAATCTTTATTAAGAATAGATGTGAATTACTTCAGCTGTTTGATTAGGTATTTGTGGGAATATTTTTAAATCGGCTTACTAGCTACAATAAGGCAATTTATTCTATTGTAAGAAAATATTCCTGGAATTTATTTACATTTTTAGACCCATTACATCACGCTTTGGGCACAACAGGCAAGAGACATCAGAGCAACCAAAGTGGTACACAAATATAACAGACAGGAAGAATGTAAGTGCCAGTCCTCTTCATGCTTTTTATGTTTTTGCCCTATATATCTGTAGATATTTCACGAAGTCCAAGTTAATAGACTGGGAAACAAATTGATCAGAGAAATTAATTCAGAAATTTGCCTGAATAGTCTTCATTGTAAATTTTTTTTTTGCTAAGAGTTTACCAAGCTCTTGGGGAGTGTGGGGAGGGGAAAGCCCACACTCTATTAATCATGTACTGTGCTCATGTAGATTCAGAAACTGTCTAAAAACTAAATCAATAAAGTTTAGGAAATCAGAAATTAATCATGCTGTGACTACATTAAACATACAAAATTAAGTAATGTTCCTGTCTATGACAGGCCTGCAAATATCTGAGTTTAAGAAAACCAAACCAGATACCTCACTAATACTTTTACAGTACAACTGCCAAAAGGTATTCACTGCAAATTCATGATATTTTATTGTTTCTATTCAGACCGCTTCACACCACTCCATATGATTAATAATAGTAATAAAAATAATAAAAAAGCTAAACTAACAGTTCAGCCTGTTGTCACTCAGACTATTAAGGACTACATTTAATGGTAGTGAATCTGAGACAATGTGTTAAGGAATTAGTCAAGTTGTGTACATTTTTCACTTCTGTCAATAGCTTCAACAAAAGTTCAACGACTAAACATAAAAAGAAAACACACACACATACCTAAGAGATTAATAATCCCCTCATTGTATGCTGCAAAAAGTCTAATGGAATCTTTAAAGAGTAGCATAAAGGCAGCATTTATAACACCATTTGTTAGTTCATTTGGATTTGCCTGTGTAGAAAGAAAAGAAATAGTAAATTAGTATTAAAGACCTTGCTTCAAAACAAGTGTTACCAAACAACTAATGTACTTACATCAAAATCAAGGAGTGCATCAAGCTGATTCTGTATGATTGGAAGGGTTTTCAGAAGCTTTTCAGCATTCATGGTTCTCATCACTCCATCTATCCTACAGAGTTGGAAACACAGATTTGCTGTTTGCTGAGAACTTTCAGCATATTATATTTTTTCAACAGTGCTATATTCTCTGCAGGATCATAATCAATACCAACGCATGACAAGCTTAAGGACAACTGGCATTTTCTCCCAGTATCGAGGTGGGGAAGAGGCGAGGGGAAGCATTAACAATCTTACCCTCTTTTCATTTTGGTGAAGTCAACTGCTACAAGTCTATACGAAAGTGCTTTTTCATTCAAGTATCTGCTATGTCGCCTAATGAAGGTAGACATATCATAGCCTAAAAATGAAGCATTTTAGGTTAGACATTTTGAAAAGGTACACTTGACATCTTTTTCCAGGACTATTCTCTTGTCTATTTTTCAATAACCATAAAGACAGAGGCACATTCCAGAGTTTTAAGCACCACTGTTTTCACTTTGAGATGCAGTGTTACATCTATATTCTTCCCAACTTGCTAAGACTAAAAAAAGTGGTATTTTTTTATGCAGTAGGCAGTTTCTCTTACTAGGCAATTGTCAAGCAGCTCTTGATACGTGATGTAGAAATCATTCTGGAAATATATTCCTGATAAAACATCAAAAACTTCACTAATTTAAATGCAGTGCCTCAAAACCCACACGAAGACCAGTGATAAGTAACCAGGAGCCCTCTCAGGAACGTCAGTGATACAGCACTCTCAGTCAGTTACCATTCCTTACACCTCAGAAGTCCATATTTACTCCTGAAACATTAAATGCAATGGCAAAATAAATCAGTGTTTTAATGTTCATCAGGTTTATTCTAGGGAGCTTAAGAGCTCACTTTAATTTATAGCCCTGCAAACACACAATACATATACTATTGACAAATTTCCAGAACTCAGCCTGGTAACTCAGCAACTCCTACATTTTCCTAAGATTTCCTACATTTTCTAAGATTTCTAGTGACTAATAGCACTTTCATATAAGAATAATTTTTCTCTTAGTATGCAGTGACACAGCTACTAGTACTGAACAGAGGGAGAAAAAAAAAACAGTAGAGTTGTTTCTTTCAATGACGGATCCTTACCCTGCATGGCACTTTTGTCTAGGTAGTTATTCAGATTGAACAATGTGTTTCGGGATGCAAGATACTGGATAAAGCGCTGTAAGTAAAGAAAAAAAATGAGCATCATTTTTGTTGTTTTGAGAGTTAAAACGTTTCAGCACAGTAGAGAAAACTGCATGCAACCGTTTTCAGTAACCTCCATTAATACAAATTGGTTATAAGACAAAAAAAAAAAAAAGAAGAAGAAAAAACAACACCTATTACCATGAATTAAAATACAGGGTATTGCTAGGTATTTAGCAAAAATACAGACTTAGTTTAAATAAGATGGCTTTACTCCCCATGAATGAAAAGCAAGCAATCCTAAGGGCAGCTGCTTAGGTTAGCGTTGCAATTCAGAAGCTGGAAAAGAAAAAACCCAGCTCCCAAAGGGCAGCTGTGTAAGTAACAAGCTTAGTTACTAAGTTTAAAGAGTAATTAGTATCTACAGTTACAAAAAAAAAAAAAAAACTAAATAAGAGCACTAAAGTTGGTGTAGACAGACTATGGTTACAACACACTGAGTTGTAAAATAGCTTTAACTTTGTGCTCTGTTCTTGAGGAAGTGTTTTATCTGGTCTTTGTAAATCTTATTGCATTCAGAGAGACATGGAGGAGAAACAGTTGCACAATGATTTGGATGGAACAGAACAGTGATATTCAGGAGGTATATATACAGATTTGAAATTTGAAACTAATATTCTGATTCATATTCTAGGAGGGTCTAGGATAACTATCACCCTTCAAATGCCAATCCCAGATGCAAACAAGGTACCATTTTGAAACATTCTCTGAATAAGCATTCTCATTGAATATGCAGGGGAAACAGTCAGACAGATCAGTCTTTCTGAATACCCAGGGTTTATATTGTGATGTGCAGTTTTGCTAGATCTACTTCAAGATTTTACATGACATTTTTGCATGAAACATGTTTATTTCAGTGCTTTACCATGGACTGTAAAACAACTTTCTCTCACACACAAAATCCTGATCACCAATGTTTTCAGATTTGTTACCAATCACAAGGTATAAATCGAATAGAGAGGTCCAGAAAAGAGCAATTTACCAAGCAGCAATGATTTTGATCAGTCAGGAGAAAATGTTCACTATTGCAACTGACACTCTACAGGAAGGGGACAATCAACAAATGCTGCTGCAATCCAGGGCTTACTGCTAAGTAAGTTTTGCATTGCGTAAAGCAGAAGTATGAAGACTTTTAGCCTCCTTCACCCAAAACTCAAAAGAAATAGGTAGTCATATTGAACAAGGAACTGCAAGGTAGCAATTGTTCAGGCACTGTTCTGACTTTCTGGTGTATTTCTCTGCACTTAAAAGTGAAGTTCAGCATTTTTTTTTTTTAAGAAAAAAAATCCTTCCTTTAATATCTTTTAAGTAAGGAGTTTCACAAAAGTAGCGTTCCAGCTACAAGACTTTAGGAGGCATAAAGGAGTTTAAATTTCAAATGCATCCATTCAAAAAAATGGGGAACACTCTTTGTACAGAAGAAATTCAAATATTTTGTCCTACTACAAAATGCTACAATGGCAAATGGATACTGACTGATAGTCTATAACTTTGAGCTCCAAATTCTTTTCCCATTGGTCAGTTCTTGACCTTTCTTTCAAACTTCAGTGTAGAGATGAATTTTCTTTGAAGACATGGAAATACACAATACATACTGATATACAAAATTTAATTTAGCCTTATTCTGAGTTCATTTCTGATCCCTCCCTAAATTCCGCCTATTCTCTTCTCTAACTGGAATGTAAGCATGTAAATAACATTGGGAAGTGTTAACATGGAAAACATTATGTTTTATGGACCATTTCATTAAGTCACCAGAAGTTTGGAGAAAGGAAGAAACACTAACTTTAGAGACCAGTTTAAGTGCAGGAAGCAATATCACTGAGATGTGTCATTCCAATATTACCAGTAACTTTCAAGTCCTTATTGTAGGTAAGGGAATAGCTATACATAAGTAAACTGCTTCTTGATCAAGACAAAAATCTATTTTTTAATTACTGGACCGTGTAAGAAAGGCTATATTTCCAGTACCATATGAGGACATTTCTGAAACCACACTGAACTTAAGCACTACTGAAATAATTTAAGTGAACTAAGTATAACAGAAAACAGTTTTTGATGCTGTTAATGGCAGAAACATAGGACAACTTGGCCTACTGAACAAGGATTTTATAGAGCAAATTCTAGTTGTCCTATTCCAATAAATATTCTCATCTCTCAACAGGCAGCCCACATACTTATGTAGCATTAACACTTTTGCTGTACTTTTACTGATAAACACTAGACTAATGAAGTAAAGCTCACTCGAAATTTTTCAACTCTTTATTCTAGAAAGGCCAGTCCAGCACTCCCTCATGATGTAAACTGAGATCAAATCACGAACTCTACAGTATTCCAGTACTGAAATCATCAAGCATTCTATCTTCCCTGGGGAGGTACTTTAGAGACTATGGTAGGGGGGAAAGTTTTTGAAAAAAAGCACACGTTTCACACTTCATCAATCAAGCAAGACAATTTGTTAAAATATTGTCAGGCAGCCCTTAACAAAACTATGCCTTACCTCGTTTCCATACATCATGAGGTGGTGTGTTGTAATTAGAGCTTTGAACACTACAACCCAGCTACTGTTTGCAGTTCTCTCAAAAAGCATGTCTGCCAACTGTGGAACATTCACATTCATTTCATTTGTGCACTGAATCAGATCTAAATTAAAGAAAAAAAATGTCAAAGCATTACAATGAGACATAAAGTAGATAATCACGTTATTTTGTATTTTCACATAAAGGAGCTATACTGGAAGTATCTCAATTACTCCCTTGTCAAATATATATGTAAGTACAAAATAAACATTCTCTGCTTAAATCCAGTGAATTTTACTGACAGAAGTAGGAATTTCAAAGGCATTCCAACAATTTTACCAATACCTCATCAGTAAATAACCTGCTCCAGCAAAATCTCTAGCTTCAAATTATAGCCTGAAAGTCAATGTAGATATTCTGGGTGTCCAGCTGCCTGAAGCCACTCAGTATAGCCAAAACTGAAGTGTGAAGAGAAAAGATGAGACACCACATCACATGTGATCAACAGGCAGCAAGTATCCTACAACTGGGAAATAAGCTGCTGTACTGACATACGGGACAGTAAGTGGAATACTACAAATCTGTGTTAAGCCTCTTCTCTGTGAGATTTAAAGAGAAAAAAAACAGAGTCTACACTACTTTCTACTCATCTAAACGGAAAAACACTAAAGTAAGTTTCTGTTGTTGCAAATCACAACAGGTCTCAAGCTTCTGCATAAAAATTCTTTGTGTTAAAGACAGATTATAACTCAATAACAAAACATGAACTTTTAAGGCCACAGACAGAAGTCATACAGTCTTCTACAGTATTTATTGGCACAAACCTAGAAGAGGCTCCAACAGCATCTACATGGGATAAAAAAAACTGTCTGAAAACAGTAGCTAAAGCACTTGCTGAGAAAGGAGCATAGTAGTAAATCCAGAACTATTCTAAACACCTCAAAACATACCCTACTATTAGATGCCTATTCTCTCTTTGAGCTAAATATGGCTCAAGTGTGATCAAAGTACAGTTTAAGGACCAGGCAAGACTATTAAAACAAACACCCATTCGAAAAATCTTCATTTGTGGCTTAGTTATATAAGACTAATTTTTGATCCACCTGTTGGCTGCAAAGCAGCATCACTGCTTGTGCGTTTTTGTTTGTTTGTTTTTTTAATTACTTGAAAAAGGGTAGCTGCTCAGGAAGCTGGGCAACACCTGAATGCTGAGATGTGAACATCACTGAACCAATCAACTCTGCTACCTCTTATTATTATTAAGCTATTTAAACATTATTTCAGTGATTATGTACTGACAGTTCAGGACAGAATGCCTTAGAGACTATGCTTAACATTTTTATCTATTCTGGTGCACAAAATGCATTATGTATGTATCCTAATTACAACTCTGTTGAATAGTAACATAAAAGTCCTATGATTAAAGCTCACTAGTGTTTATTTTGAATAACTTAACAATCAGAAAAACTTCAAGAGTGAAGAATTTTACATAATCTCTTGCCTCCAGAAGATACTGTAAATAGTCTTTATTAATTTACTTATTCACACTGATGCCACAGGTTTTATAATAGGTAGAAAACTCAAGCTATGATGAAAGCTTTCATCTTTATAAACAATACACAGAAATGCTGGAATAATAAAGTGAGAAACCCTGAAAAGAAGTTTTAAGCAAGCTATACATCAAAAACTTATTCCTAAATAGTATTAAAATATTCCACTGTTCAAAAAATAAAGATTCTCAGAAACAACTCTTTTGTTACTCACCACTAACAGCTGTATTATTAAAGATTATAATCTGACACAATATCTAATAAAGTGTTCTAAAATTCCCAGAAGTCTAAGCAATGCATAAAGACCTACTACTTCATAAAATGAAGCAATCGAGTTCTGCAAGTTATGCTCAGAGAAAATTTGAATCTTAAAAGTCTCATTTACTGAATGAGAACTTTGTTACGATATTTCTAAGTAATTCTCTCAATATACATTAGGGCAAATAACAGTTCTCCTAAATCAAATTAGTTTATAAGCAAGTGTTATAAACACATTACTGAAAAAATTAGTTTAGTATTTTTCCTTTAGCTGAAGGCTCTATGACTAAAATAATGTTACTGAATTGTTACAAGTCATAAAGGAGCTCAACTTCCCAGGAAAGAGACAAATACACACAGCCTATTGAAAGTAGTGTTTCTGCACGGTCTTTTCTTCCACGTGACCACCAAACAAACTAAACGTTAAGTACTTTATATACATATACAACATGTAGCATATTTTTAAATAATACACGAAACTGGTCAGGGACATTCAGATAAAAAAAGACAGAACACCACACATAAAAACACCAAATTTAACTCTTATTTTCCTAGAACATCTTATGGAGAGTTTAGTCTTCTCATGCTCCCTCAGGCAAGGTCTGACAGGAGAGACATTTCCAGTAAAAGCTAAAAGGATGCTGAAAACATGGAAATGGCATATCTAAAACTGCTATAAAACGTGTTCTTGCAGTGTTGCTCAGCCATCATCATTTTATATCGTGGCTAACAAACGTTGCAATTAATCACCTTGCTCATCGCACCATCATAATGGTTTATCACTACAAAAAAGTCACCAAGGTGTCAGCTTTCAAAACTGCTAACTGCCTCCTGTTCTGGTAGTCAAGACTGAAAAATGGCTTCTGCCATGTGACAGTGAGAAAGCAGAGGCTGACAGGACCAGTGCCTTTGACTAGTTCATATGTTATCCTTACTCCTGCAGCACGGTTTTGTGCGACTGATGAGCACAGCTCCAGCTGTTCTGCAGAGCAAGGTTTCCCAGGGTTAAGCTCTTACTTGCATAATATTAGAGTCTCACCATTTTAGCAGATATGAAAGAGGTAGTATTTCACTTACACAGGGCTACTCATTGCCCAGCTGAAGCTTGAGGTTGGTGGACCTCAGCAAAGGGCGAGTTCACACGCTAATCAGTCAGTAATCAAAACACACACTGGCTTCTCTGAGGTCAACTTGCATTGAGAGCACTTATCGCTTCAGGCCACAGAGGGCTGTGGTTCTGACCCTCCCTGACAGGACAAGCCAACAGCAGCCAATGCTAAGGAACATCTGCTCAGGCAGAAGTGTCCCTGAAAAACTAATTTAACACAGCTTGCCTTTCATAAAAGTGTACTGTACAAATTTTAAAACTCTCTAATAAGGCTAGTAAAGTAAAAGAAAAATGTTAGTAGTAGTAGTGCTGTTGAAAGCTAGCAACATATTGAAATTATAATATTTGAGATATGTAACAAAAATGCAACTATCATCTCACTAGTATGATTCTTTCAAATCTGTAATGGGAATATCTACATAGAAACAGCAGTATGAATTTGCAAAAGCAGGAAATTGGAAAGTCTATTACCACTATTCTCTGGAAGTATAAGTGAACACACAGGCATCTGAAAGACGAGCAGCTGGGTCACTATAACACAGATTAGCTTGAAAAAGCTATTGGCAGCCAGGAATTAAATGAAGTGCAGAGGGCAAGTGACGCTTATTTTCATATCACAGGACTTCTGTAAACATTTCACAACTCAAAGCACTTTGCCAGCTACCTATAGAAATCACTTCGACTGCAAGTGCAACTGTGCTGCTATTTCTAGCACAGGATTCGGAAGCATAGCACTAAACATACTTCCACGCAGCAAAATCAAACAGCTTTAACCAGAGCAGCAGTGAGGAGGAACTCGCCTGATGGAGGCATGGAAGTCTTGCTGTCCCGAAGAGCACTCAAAACTTCTCTTCCACGGCTCCTGTGAAACACTGGCACATGGGCTAATGAGGCCAGAGTGCTCTCCAAAGAAGAGCACGCATAAATCCAAAAGTAATATGAAAAAAACCAAGTCTTCTGCAACTTTCTTAGTCAATCACAAAACTGACTTATTTCAACTGTTAAACAACAGGACTTAACACTTTCTTGGTTCTTAAATACATCTTACAAGAGAATTACACATATATCAAGTGAAGGCAGCTGCATTTGTTTAACATTTCCTCTATTTCTTCCATCCTGTCACAGAACTGAAACTGCTGCAAGGCAAGTAGATGCAGGAATTTTAACAGTGGGTACTTTAACCCCAACAGTCTGTAGAAAATGACTTTTTCTTATCTGGAAGTTGTAATGCAAACTAAAGCAAAAGAAAACCACATACACAAATCTTCCCAATGCAGCCTAAAAAATGCAGGGTTACTTGCTGGAAGCTTAATTAAGAAATAGTACCTGACTGACAACTATTACGTCCATATGCTTATAATGCAAATCTGACAGCAACCTTTTAATTTATATAAGAGCTAAATCTGTAAGGTCTTACAGAGTTACATTTACTAGAAGCAAGACAATTCAAATCTCCTATTCTACTCTTTCCCTACTAAACAAGGATACAAAATGACCCATAAAACGTTTTCAAAAGCTTTATTAACTATGAAATGAAAGTAGACTTACAGATTCCAACAACATTAATTCTATTTTTTTTTTCTTGACTCAAGTGAAGTTTCCTCAATTACTGCCCTGAAAAGCTTCACAGTTTAATAAAGAGCTTCAAATGAAAGAAGCAGTCTCACCTCCCAGTTGAGCCTAAGAGCATTTGTCTGCACTGTTTCCCAACTTGCCTATTTCCTAAAACCACACTGCATCAGAATGCACCAGACAGTCATGAGCTCTGCCAGTCCAGAGCAGGAATGGGCAGACATACAAGAACACCCCGAAAAGGTGACAGCCGATTTGACATTACTTGCAAAAATTTAAATACACAATGATTTGGCGGAGAGTTGAACTTTAACCTCTTTGCACACATCAAAAAGCAGTCTTATTTTGCTACATAACACTAGAGTACCCAGATTACCACTTTTGACAGGATTCCAAAGCCTTTATATGCATAGTAGTTTTAAGTTTTAATAAGCAATGTTAACTACTTTCTCTCCCATTAACTTAACTGGGCAGTATATGAATTAAACAGGAGTTGCTTGTTCTTCTTTATTACTGTGTTAATTTAAGGATATATGGCAAATCTTAGAAATGAACCTGAACCGATTGCACTGACTGAAATTCCCCTATGTTCCTTGATGCAACTGTAGCAACTCTCAAACAACGTTCTTCGTCAAGTTTTGTTGAGCAGCAATTACAAGTAATACCACATGGTGCAGGATTTTTAATGATACACACATGTGAGGGCCAAGGTTAAACTTACAGGATTAATTTCAAGTCAAGTTTTAATTTACATTTTACTTAACTTGGAAAGCATTTCATTGCATCTTTGAATATACACTCAGATTATAACACAAACTATCTTACCTGCTGTCACTTAATACAGGCAAGTTTTATGTGCAGGTGTACAAGAAAAAAAAAAAGCAAGTGCCACACAAAGGCTTCAATCTAGCTATTTTGGCAGATATTTGAGAAGAAGCCTGGATATGTTTGATGAACATTTTCTACTGTTCACTGGGATTTTTTTAGAACCTCTTACAGAGATCTTGGTAGCACCACATTTCACACTCACTTCACGGAAATGCTGCTCCATTTCAGATGAGCAGTTAGAATAATATACTTTTTATTTGGCTTGGATAGAAGTCAGAGAAAGTGAGTTACACTAAGACACAGAACTCACTCAGCACAGGAGGTCCTGGAGACAGGCAGCTCTAAAAAAAGGCTCATATCAAGAAATATCCAAATGAATGATAGTCACAACCCACTCTCCGTTTATGTGGCTCTCAAATTACACAGAGAAGTTTTCCATTCTTTTTATTTTATGAAGTTATATTAGGTGACACTACTTTCAGAGTCGTCCTCCCCCCCCCCCCCCCCCCCCTTCAAACCGCACACTACTGCTGCTAACCTTCAGAAACTTGTAAACTATTGAGCAAGATACCACCACACTGGCTTCCTGTTGTGCTGCCCTTTCTGGACGTCAGGATTACCTCATTAAGTTGTTCTACCAGAGGCAGAAAATAACACAAGATAAACTAGCAATGCACTGAAAGCAGTATCTTAAAGGAAAAAGAACAATCAAAGGTACATTACCCAAACTTAGGGTTTTAATATCAATAAAGTAGTTGCAATATTTACTACTGCTGCTGACTTCCAGTCACTTGGATCTATAGCAAAATAAATATTTGCATGTTTTTAATTTTTAACTATTTGATCTGAAAGACTCTCATAAACACATCCATGTTAACAGATGAGCGCAGCAGCACCAGAGTGACAAACTCTCCTCAGACAACTTCACACAGTTTTCCTGTTGGGAGAAATTAAGAGAGTTCTGGTACCATCAACCCAAAAGAGTCTGGCCCTGCTACCAGCCCCTGACTTGGGGGAAACCAACGTGCCATTCCCTGCTTTCCTTCCTTCCTTGCTCTCCCGAGCCCACACTCACACGCGACATTCCCTGTCATGGGCAGTGCCAGGCAGTTCCGCACAGTGGGCAGGTTTTGGGGCACTCAACAACGCACTTTTGCACATTACAGCGGCACCAACAGCTACTCCAGAAAACAGTCAACTACTACATATCGAAACAGCCCTGGCACCGGGGAGATTTTAGGGGTGGCCGGTTACACTCTTTAGCACAGAGAAATGAGCTCCAACGCGTTAGTCGATGAGGCTGGCAGCAACCTAGTCCCCTTGGCAGAGCGGTGCGGACCCGCTCCTCCCTCACTTCCTTCCCGCAGGTGCTTCGCCCCGGCCGCAGGACGGTATTTCGGGAGCGCCCCGAGCCCTCCCGGCCGCCAGCGGAGCGCTCCTGAGCGAAACCTCGTGCCCGCAGCAATAAAACCAGCGCGCTTAATCCACCTTTGCCCCAGGTGCGGGATAACGCGCGCTGCTGCCCCCGGGGCGCACAGCTGGGAAACGCTCACGCGGCTGGAAAACGATCGGTTTTTTTCTTTCTTTCTTTCCCCCTAGCTGCAACAGCCGCCCCTACTCACAGTCCAGGTGCTTCTTCTTGGGGCCCATCACCTCGTGGGTCGTGGCCTTACAGACGGCCTTGGCCACGGCCGAGCCGGTGACGCTGTGCTGCGCCGCCGCGATGCGGTCCGTGAGCGACTGCCCCGACATCTTCCTCCGCGCGGCGGGGACGCCGCCGAGCCCAGAGCGCAGCGCCCCGCCGACCCCCGCTACCCTCGAGCGGCGGCCGCGGGGCCCTGGGCGGGCGCCGCCTCCGCCGCGCTCCGCTCACGGGGCTCGTCCCCGGCTCGTTGTGCGGCTCGCGCCGAGGCGACTCCGGCGCCCTCGCGGCTCGGTGGTGCTGGGCGCGGAGGAAGGCGGCAGCCGCCGCTCGCCGGCCCCGCGCTGCCTCCGTCCCCCGGTCGCCGCTCCGGCTTTTCCTTTCACATTTCCACTCCCAGACAAAATGGCGGCGGCGGCGTCAGGTGACGGCGCGGCCGCCCCGCCCCGCCGCGCGGCGGCCGTTGGCGTCTCGCGGCCCGCGCGCCGTTGCCTGCGAGGTCGCGCTGCCCCCGGCGCCGCTCCGAGCTCCGCAGCTCGGAGCGCTCCGGGCCGCGTCCTCGGCGGTAGAAGCTGAGGAAAGGAACGGGGGGCCCGGCCGCGGGGTAGGGCGGCTGCGCCCCGTGTGGCGGGAGCCCCCGAGGGGCCTTTACCCCCGAGGCAGATGCCACCCTCCCCACAGCCCCTGCCTGCCGCCCTCGGCTCCCAGAAGCAACATATATTAAAAGAATAGCGCAGCCTCCCTGTTTGGATCCGTCGCTTGCCCAGAGGAGGAAAGTAAAGTTCCTCCTCCTAATTCTGATGAACTCCTGCTCATATACCAGCCTATTGAGAAACGGCGCAAGAAACTTGGGCACAAATTGTATTGGGGAGCCTGGAAACCTATTTAACAGCAACCATATTGACCTCATTTCAAGCATACGGCTCTTGTTTATTTAAATCAACAACAAACAAATACTCAGGCAGGACCAGAGCCAGATGACAGATCCAACCAAAGAAGGGAGGGGGAAATGGTAGTTTACAATACACATAAATTCACCCATTCACTGTTTTCCTGCTAGCAAACTGGAAAGCAGTTGCAGCCTTTGCCAGGGGTGATAGTGGTTTCTCTGATAGGGAGACCTGCCTGTTAGAACTGGACTGTTACCAAGAGTATGTTTCAAACAACCACCAGTGTTAATGATATCTTGTGAGGGGAATTAAACGGTTTAGAAATGATAGGCTCTGCAGCTGCCTGGCATTTCCCTTGATCCTTCCAGGCTGGCTGTTCTTGTATCAGCTCATTAGGTGGTTAAAAGTATGATGGAGGTTTAAAGCAAGCTACAGGAATGAGCAGGGAATTGTCCGTAGTAGAGCTGTTCTGGAGCAGAAATTCGGGAGTCCGGTTTGTGAGACCTGGCTCTCTAAGAGGAGTCAGCTGGGCTTGATTTTAAAAATATTCTCTGTAAGTTCGCTTTCCTTCTAATCCACATAAATGGAAGTTCTTACAAGAATAGGAAGAGACAGAAAAAGCACTTCAGAAGAAAATTTCTGACTTAGAACTTTGTGTTATAACGCTGACAACCAGGGACTACATGCTCTTTGACCTCAGTGAAAGCAAGTTTGAGCTTCTGGGAAAATGAGAAATTTCCCTTTTTCATCATCTAGCAGAGTGAGGCAAGCTGGGTTTTGCAATACAAGAGAGTCCAATTATATCAATAATGTGATAGCACATTCCTGTAACTTGCACATCACAGAAGTACTGTCATAATTTCAATTTATGATTCCAGACTGAATTCCATCCCCATCCTGTATAATAAATGTGTATTATGTTCTCTGATTCCATGTATCCACCCGAAGGGGTTTTGTGACACTGTTAATCTTTGGGCATTAAGATTTCCAAAGACTCTGTTCCCCAAATGACAATGATGAAGTTTCCTTGGTGCTGTAAGGATCATTAATTGTTTTTCAGCCAAACCTTAAGGCTCTGGTGAGGACAAGTTCAGTTGTACAAGACCCTGCTTGAATACAGGAAGAGACATTCCCTCTCTCTCAAACGTAACATTTTCAGTGAGTGTCTTCAAACCCGATGTTATCTTGAAGACAGGTATCAATTTATACTTAAGTAGGTGCATACAGTTACATACTCTATGGAAAATCATGACAGTGCAGTGGAAATATTAGCAGTCCTGTGATCTAGGGTGGAGAGTATTCTGAGTGAATGATTTCTATAACCCTAAGGACATAAATACATTAAAACATGGTCACTGATATTAAAATATTGAACATTTCCTGTACCAGAAAATGCTACAGCATCTTTAGCTCTGCTGGCAGCAGCAAATTACTAGCTGCCTGATTTTTGCCTTAAGACTTGTTGTTTCTGGAAAAAAATCTTGAATCTTCAAAGCCTGAGGAAACATCAAAACAGTAAGAAAAGAGGAGATGGAAAGATTAAATAAGCCTTTTAAATATGTCTAAATCTCTTGGGGCTTGTCCAAACAGGGAAGCTCTTTCGAAATGAGTGTGTGAGCTGAAGCACAGCAGCCATACTCCACCCCCAACAGGGACTTTCTTATTTTATTCTATTTCAGAAAGCCTAAATTTCACAGAAGTGCCTAAGTTGAGCATTTTCCATTGGCCTGAAATGTCTCTGCCTTTACTGAATTTGCTGGTCAGGCCCAAATGTTTGTTCACATTTCCCTCTGTAATCAAACCAGTACCTTGCTCCAAATTCGAGCCATATTATGCATACTGTGGATGACTTAAAGACATGAACTTATGCTATTTCTCTCTAAATACCCCCATATCAAGAGAAACATCTGTCTGAAACTGCTGCCTTTTAGACACTAAAGCTACTCTTTAGTGTCTAAAGACACCCAGTCTGTATATACTGGGTGTCTATACGACCCAGTATATATATACACTGTAAAACAGATATTTGCAGAACACTTTACCTTCCAAGTGTATTGGTTTTTAGTTATGTGAGAAAAATATTACAAATAATTTGAAAGAAACTGTTGTCAGTTTAGCCCTACACTTCTTTGGGATGTTCCACACTTCTTTGGGATGTTCCACTCTTCCACTAAACACTTCTTTCATCCTACAGTTCCCAGGAGCTGTGGGTTAAAAAGGAATTCTTACTGATTATAAAAAGAGTTATAAAAAGAGAAAGAAATCAAGCCAATCTTGTTCATCATCTACTTATATACTTAAGGTATTAGTCTACATTTTTGCAAAACTTAATCCTATTAGCAGCAGAGTGTTTGGGTGAAAAACTACACAGTTAGAATCAGATAAGGGCAAGGAACTATAAGCTCCCACACACCCTCTAGGGTGGAGTGACAAGGTATTTTGATTATCTTAAATTAGAGATCCGTTTATAGAGGGCTGCCCTGTGATGCCACGAAATGTGCACAATTAGCTACGCACATTGTTGCATAGAAATGTAGTGGAGAGGTATGTGCATAGACTAAGAGGAGGGCTGGAATGAAACCTTACCCACCTCTCCGTCAGCTCCCTGATGCGACACGCGTGATTTAGTCGTCAGGAGATAAGGGTCAGTGTTTTTTCAGGCTGATGTTTCTCTCTTACGTGGCTCCTGCAGTGCCACAAGCTGGGCAGAGGTTTCTCCAGAAGTCACTTGAGCACATACAGATTAAACAACAGCCTGTTGTTCTCCGAAGCCCTTTTTTGGCTTCTTGTGTTCTGCCAGGAGACTGACAGCAAATCTTAGCTAGCAGTTCTTGCATTTACACCAAACAGGTACTTTTCCATGGCGTCCCTTACCTCTCTTTTTACCCCTGTTGTGTGGGAACATCTTCTAGCACCATCTTTAGCATTTTAGCATCTCTTTAGCAAATCTTTCTTTCTTATCCATTCTTCCTGCACCTATGGATTTAGGTTCATATTTTTATGGATGAAAAAATGAAAATGATATGTTCCATTTACTTCTTGGGTCATTCATTATGCTGCCTAGTGTTTATTATAGGGCAAGTGATTAGGGTTTTCGGAGAAAGGAGACAGGAAACAGACTCCAGACATTGTTAGCATATAAATAGCCTTGGGGAGGTGGTAGTGGCAGAGAGAATGGGACATTTCTGGGATTTTGCCATAGCTGAATGACACAGATGGTTTTCCAGTAAAATGAATTTTTTGGTAATGAGTAGTGCTTCAGTCTGGCAACACCTACAGCCCCAAGAATACAAACAATGTAGAAGTAGTTCTGTCAATAAATACCATCTGCTTAACAGCGTTGAACCCAAAATAGTGCAGTGCCTGCCTTAACGATGACTGCTGTTTTGGTAAACAGAGGTGAGATAGAAGTCACTACTAAATACTCTTCCAAATAGTGTGATTCTGATCTCCAGAGTATAAAAATTGCCAGTTTTCTTTTTATTATTATTATTACTATTATTATTATTATTATAAATTCAGTTCCAAGAAAATTAAGCTGATGCAGGTAGCTTTTTTTGCTGATGGATGTAAGGCATCTCCACTGAAGTGCAACTATAAGGGTGAAGAAGCTGCTTCTCACACAGTAGCTTCTGTAGCTGGGACGGTTAAATATCTGAAAAACTTCTTGTTACAACTTCTTCCCCCAAGGGAAGGAAACCTGTAATGCTGTGAGCAGAAGTGGCAGCGAAGCCTGGTTTCCTATTGCTACGACTGCTCTTTTGAGGTTGATTTCCTCTGAACACGCTGATACCTGATAAGAGGCGAGTTGCCGCCACAGCCTTTCTTTCTGTAAAGATAAAAATAGTCATTTCCTCTGGTTCCCTGTATTCCATTAAAACTGCAAAACCAGAATATCTTTGTGATTTTTACTCCTGTTAGATTTTGCTGAAATTGTATAACAGAGTCATAGGTTTCTAGGAGAGAAACAGGCAGGCAGAAGATATGACTATGTTCTAAAAAGTCTTGAAAAATATAAAAATTAATTTTAAGAACCTTAGCCTCCTAGTTGACTGTTTTCTGTTCAGAGACACGAAAGAAAAAAGAAAACATACTGATGTCCATCTGTGATTTATGGCTAAAGTAGTGAGGCGAGCTTTTTTAAAGGTGTTCCCTTGATTCCACCAGCTGCAAAGGAAGGAGGAGTAACAACGCAAAAGCTGATAGTCAGCTTGCTGTATGTGAAACCA